TGTACTACACTGTTTCTCTGGCCAGTTTACACATAGGTGAGTAAAGCAAATGCTCCTGAGTGCTGCTGGTCAGTCTCATGAAAGTGTGAGGACAACTTCACCAAGTGCCAGTCCAGGGTGCTAAAGTGCAGTTCACGTTTTCAGACAAAGCCGGCTTTTATCAGTACTCCCACATGCAGAGGGATGGACTCTGTGACTGCTTATGAAATGTTTTGTCATCTCACTTCAACTTTTCAGTAAGCTGATGAAAAAAAAGCATAAATCCATCAGACATGTTGTCTTACCAATTCCTGATATGTTTTGGCTACTTACAGAGAGTATGAGAAGTCTTCAGAGCAGATGTGAGATTCAATCTTGTTTGCTCACTTGTCATCGCTCAAAAACCAAAACAAACACGCCTGCTCCTGCAGGAGTTAGCCCCCGCGTCCTGCCTGCTCTGCCTCACTGAGCTGCATGCTTGCTCGTGCTGCCCTGGCTTTAAGGGTGACTTTTGGTCTGTAGCTCAGTTTCGTGTTCCTTAAAACTTTCTGCAAAGCAGCAATAGTGAGCCAAGGAAACTGTGGAAGAAGAATATGTGGCAATTATGCTGAAGACATCACTCATTTAAACAAAATCTCAGATGACATCATACTGCACTTGAAAGAAAGGTAATCTGGAAGGAGTCACAAAAAGCTCTATCGTGCATAACTTCCCAAACACTATCCCTAGTCTGTAGGTTTGTCAGCATTTGCACTGAGTTCCTCTACATTGCCAGGGGTATTTCACAGGCAAGTGGAGCTCCCTATGAGCTCAGAATAACATAAAAGCAGACAGGATACAAGTTTATTATGAATGCCTGTTTTCTCTCTGATATTTCATCATGGGTTCCAAACTTAGTGATGATTCTCATGAGAAGCTTAAAAATGCAGAGCTGGTTTGGTAGGACTCACCTACCTACTGTCTCACCTACAGACAGTGCAGAGGGTTTTTTTCTTGTGCTTGTACCCGTAACTGCAGATAAAACAGAAAAAGTGATTTGAAGCTGCTATCTGGCCCAAGAGGGAAAAAAAGCTTAGCAGAAACACACATAATCCCAGATGAGACAAGATGAAAATAATCTAATTAGATTCCTTCTTAAGCTAAATTCTACAGTACTGTTATCTCCTTGGTTATTTACTGCACACAGTAATAAGCAGACAAAGAAAAAATTGTTCTTAGTATTTCAGCCAGATTTCAGCATCTTGAAATATTTATAACTGGAGAAACATATTTTTACTGGGAATTATTTAATACATTTTTTATATTTTTTAAAACATCTGCCTCAGGTGGCAAAATAATCGCTTGGAAACTGTGAATTTCAGGTGCACCTATTGATCTGTGAAGACTGACAGATGTAACTTTCCCCGGCAGACTAGAGAGGGGCAGCCCTCCCTACCCTTATCCCCCATCAGTTACCTCCATCCTTTGCTCCCTCTGGTGCTCCCCACATGCTGAGAAGCCCCAACCACAAGAGGCCACAGAGCTGCACATCCCAAAGCTTCATGCCCACAGCTCAATAGCCAGAACTTGCCATGATTTCCTGAGCTTCTCCTCCCCCAGATGCACAGAATGAAGTTTTGCTTTTTATGGATGCATAATTAACCCCTTGAGTAAATATCTATTCAAACCTACATAATTAGTACTTAATTTTTCAAAAAGCTAATGAAAGGCCCTTTTAGGTTCCTAATTGGCTGCTACTTCCCATTAGTCAACTCTCAGTATGAATTATCAACATGGAAAATACACTATATCACAGAAACTATGCAGACAGTGAATGCCACGCTAAAAAGCCCACAAGCAGGACAGCCAAGCATCTGGGGCATGATCAAATACACCCACTGTGGATTGCAGCTGTGCAATACAAACTAAAATTGATTCAAAAGGAGACATTCTTAACATGAAGACATTCAGTCGCAAACCCAAACCCACAGTGTTTGATCTTCAGGTCATGGGTTTGTTGTAAATTTGGGGATGGTGGATCTCGTATCACATCAGGACATGTCCCCAAAAGACAGATGTCTATGAAAACAATGGCAATATAAGAGAAGTGCTACCCAGAATTATTTAGAGGCAGGTAATCAAGCTATACAGTAAATGTACCACTGAAGAGCTTAATTAACAGCATGTGCTTATTAGGAGCTAATTACACGATTCTTTACCATTTTGAAATGAACGGTTACCACTTAGTTCACAGAACCTTAATTACCAGGTTAGGGAGAATGTGCAAAACCTGCTGCTAAATTCTTTGGGTACCTCAGTTAACAATTTAACCACTTCATTTACAGAAAATAGTCTGTAGAAAAGAGCAACTCTTTCCAATAAAGCCAGTATAGATTCAAAGAAGCATCTAGTTCCAGATCAACACACTCCAGGTCACACTGTAGATGAATGAACCTTCTTGCCTCGCAGCCAGTGCCTGTGTTTTACTCTTAAAGCAACAAAGGAAAGCAAATAATGCCTACATCCACTTGTGAGGAGTACATAATTGAATTACACGGTACTGCAAGGAGCTTGTCTAGAATAATACCTTCCCTTAACCGCTGCTCAGAAACACTGGCTGCGCAGCTTATAAAAGTCCTTATTTATCTATTTTTGCTCCAAACTCAGTGTTTTCATTGGCTGTGCTGCAGTGCTCTCTGCTGGCACCAGCCTGGGATTTCCTGCGATGCCACAGCAGAGTGAAACCAGCAGCAGGGCCATGCCGTGCACCCTGCACCCTGCACCCCGTCACCTGCACCCTGTCCCTTGTCCCCAGCCCAGGGCACTGGGTGGGACTTGGCACGAAACCTCTGCGTAGCAGGGGATTGCCCCGCTGGTGCTGTGCCAGCCCCGAGGGCTTACAACCCATGAGTCAAGCTCCTGGAAAACCCTGAGACTACCAACACTAGTTCTTGGTATTTACTTTCTGACCTTGTGTTTACATTTCGGGCGTCACATCTCAAAACATTGCTCTGCTTGAAAACCACCCTGCTGATGCCTCACGGCCTGGCTGCCCTGCTTGCCTTCTCACTGATGATACTCACAGACATTTCCTTGTTTCACTTCGCAAAATCAGAAGTGTTCCAGGTCCCTTATCACCAGAGGATACATGAGCTGAGTCCCACCGCTTTATTTTTTCCAAGGCAAAGGTTTTTGGCATCATCTGGTGGCAAAACCCAGCACCAGGATCAAAGACCAGACGCATTTTTCTTGCATGTCCCTCGCAGGCTGCTCCCTGCGGCCCCCTGATGCCAGGGCAGCGGCCAAGGCCTACGCAGGGCCGGGGCTGCAGGCGCCTTTCTGGCGTCTCCGTGAGGCCTGCGTTGTGCTGCCGCTTCCATCCCACCTCCTTGCTTCTGATTCATGCTGTTAAAAACTAGATTGTTGCTGGCTCTCTGCATCTTTGGTTAATAACTGCTATTTTAATGCAGGCCCATGGAGAGCTCAGCAAAAGTCCCTGAACTGACTCGCTTGTTGTCCCAGATTTCTGCCAGGCAAGGTCGAGAGCTGCCATCTCGATGGATTCTTTCCACCACAAAGCACACAAGGGGACTTTTTACCTCTCGCTCCCCCCGGGTTGCTGGTATTTTTCTCAGTGTGTTTCTGAAGGCCAAACCCAGAGCACTGATGATCTGGGAACTTTGCAGCTCTCACCATGTTTTCAAGCAAGTTTCTTCCTGCTTTTACTGTGCCTGGCATTGTCCTGCTGCAGCTGTGCTCTTTCCATAAGATTTATAAGACACTGACAGCAAGTGCTACAGGAGCAAAACAAGGAGTGCTTACCCACTTCAGCTGACTTTATCGCAGGCCTCTCATTTCCAATAGAGCTGACAGCAGCACCCAGACTCCAAGGACTGGAGTGCAGTAAATGCTTCCCTTTTGTTCTCATTATCTCTACCTTAAACTTCTCTCAAGGCAATCGCATTATCCTGCATAGTGTCACCATTAATTTCATTTCCCCTTAATCACCCTGTGACCATCTCAGCCTGGCCTGACTCGGTGCCCCAGCTCTCCTGCGTCGTGCTCCCCAGCACAGCCATGGGCAGGGGGTCCTCGCACCCAGCCCCACTCCCAGCCACCGGCCAGGAGAGGCTGAAAAGATGGAAAATGAAACACAACTTGCTGATAGCATGTAAGAAAGTAGCTTTTCACCTGCAGCTCCTGGTGCTGCTATTCCAGAGGCATTGAAGGCAGGAACAGGTGAAGCTTTACAAGGGTTTCAAGATCAGATCAATGCAAATTCCACCAAAACCTGGAGCTGAAGGAAAGCTTAAGATTTGAATCCACGTCCAGAAATTTTGACCAAAATCCTTCACACTGTGGAGCTTAGATTGACAGAGTTCAGCCAAAAAGAAAGGGAGAATACTAAACAGCCTTCTTCTTGGGATTAAGCTAATGAAGATTTAAAAATAATAATAAAAATCTTAAAAATAAAGGATTTCCTAGTATTGCCTCAGAGCTGATTTCTGCCTGACATAAAACTAAACTTTGCAATGATATGTACATTTTTCATGCATTATTCTAGATGGCAGTGTAAATCAACTGAGAGTGCAGTCAGTAAAGTTGTTATTGCCAACCCTAAAAATTCTACATTATGGGAAAAAAAAAAAAAAGATAAATAATTAGTATTTCCTATATTCATATGTGCTGTGCTTCTCAGGAAGGCAGGAGGCACAGGGGTTTTAAAAGTCAAAATAGAGGCAATGAATGGTTTAAAATAGTCCAAAACTCTGTGGGTAGAGATTAATCTCTGCTGCAATGATTTTTCTCCATGCTTTTGTGCCATATAAAGATGGTGGAGGGCATCCTCTTGCCAGCCCTGGTGATGAGTGCTGAGGTGCCTGAGCACCCAACTTGCCCAGGTCAGTCCCCAGGGAGCCCTGTCTGGTCCCGTCCCATCCTGCACAGCCCCACGGCCCTTCCAGCCTCACAGGAAGGAAACACGGTGTTTGTCTGATTAAGGCAAGTTGCATTTGCATTCCACCCAGGACTGTTTTAATACCAAATTGGCTGCTCGAGGGCAGCTGCTGCAGCTGCGAGCGCCCGAGCATCCTCCAGGCAGCGGAGCAGCTTCCTCAGCCCTGCTGGGGAGCGCTCCTCTTCCCGCACCAGCGCTGCCAGGTACCGCCGCTGTTATTGACAGAGACGTGCACGCACATGCACACCCACAAGCAGCTTATTCTCGTGTCAATTTACTCCCCTGTAAGTGCTGCCTAGCTACCGGCACGGCGGAGACATCTCCTTCCTCCCTCCCTGCCAGCCGGCTGCCTGCCAGCGCCCGGGCAGGCTCCAGTCCCCCAGACCCACGGGAGCTGAGCAGGAGCACGGGGGAGCAGGAGTTGCTTTGTTTCTGCTGACTTGGGTAAGCGAAATATTATTTCCTTAATAACCGTTCGCCTTTCTGGGTAGCAAAGCAGGTGGGATTCTGGCTAACCGGTTCGGTTTTTTTTTTTTAATGATTTGTATCTCTTAACAGGAATATCCTGGAGGACCTCTGTGCACAGGCTGTTAGTCCTAGTATCCTACTGCACTCGTGTGTTATATTTAGCAGTTTCATAGAAAGCTGCCTTCTGACATTTTACTTCAAAAGTATTTTAAGAATCTGACATATTTATATTGAAAAATGTGATTTTGCAAGTGGTCATCAAGGGCTACTAAGTTAACATACTGCTTTTGAAACAATGGGGTGGCTTAATGTAGATTTGTTTTTAATGGCGAGCTGATGTTTTCAATTTCTAGTTCTTTTGTCCCTGAACACAGAGGCTGGCCTGTCAGTTAATTCATTCACATGCAGATTGCTTGTTTTGGTGTATTTTTTTTTAAAGCAAATCCTTTGACTTTGTATTCTCCCCCTTATTTTTCTTTAAACTTTTTTTTTCTAATTCTAAAGGCAGAATCATGAACGAAGCATGTTTCTTCCCCCTACACATGTAACTTTGTCACAAGACTATTAATCATGCCTTACAATAATTTTGCTAGTGCAGTATATCCATTCAGAAGCAGAGTGTCTGTCTGCAGATGGATTTGTTACTGTGAGATATGAAAGCTGAACAAATTTCTACAGGAAATATTTAAGCAAGGTCATAATAACACTCATTATATTCTAAGCAATGATGTGTCATATGCTGGATCAGACAGAGTACAGCAGCAGTCACATTTATTGACTTTGCCTGTGAAGAGCCCAAAGGTTAGACATTCATTTTGAAACTACTTACTACTTTCAGCATATACTTATTAGGCTGAAGTCCTGCATACTGCTTAATTTGTTATGATGAGGAAAAGGAAACTAAACAAATTAAAGCAGTGTTAAGTACTTTTTTTTCATCTTCAAATGTCTTTACATCTATTAATAGGTATTTCCATTTTATTATGCGATCCCAACATATCATTGCTATTGCACCATCAAAAGTGGATGGGCAAATGGGCAAACCCAGACCTTTCTCTGGATTAGGGGTTTAAAATGGTGCGTTCTGCAGGTGCGTGTCGGGTGCGCTCCATCCCATTCTCCCTCCACGCATCCCACTGCTGTGGCTGGAAAAGCTGCCCACCGAGGCAAGGGATGCTGCACAGGCAAAGGGGGTGTCAGGATGGAGCTGACAATCGACACGTGCCAGGAGCATGCCAGGAGCGTGCAGACGGACACATCACACGGCAGGAAAACCTGCCAGCCCAACCACAAAGACTGTTTGCCCGACTTTCGTTACGATGTTTTCCATTCCTGTGGAAAGCAAAGCCGCTTCAGCTACACGAATAAATCCATTAAACCCTGTTTACCTGTACACCGTGTACTGGCACTGAGAAAGGTCTGGACATTGTTGGACAAGAGAATGAATAAATACATTTAAATTTTTTAAAAAAGGACAACAAATGTATCAAACAATGTGTTTTCTCAAACTGCTGCAAAGTGCAACAGGTGGCTTAACCAGATCAAGAGATGAAGTGAAAGACAAGTTCACAAAGCCTGCACCAGGAAAATCACTGGTCCCATAATCCAGTATCATGGCCAGACTGCGAGGCCTCTGTGTTCTGCACAAAGCTCCCATGCAAATAGGAGAGGAAAAAGTATTGAGAAGAATCTGATCCAGCATGAGGAAGGAGGAAGGTGGGCAAGTGTTTATCACTTGAGTACATATGCGGCTTTACATTTTGGGCAATTCAAACATTGCATTATTTTGCTCCCAAAATAGCACCACTTACTCCCCTTTCTCTCAGAAAGGCGAGCTGAGGCAGGAAATGACTTGTTCATGATGATACAGAAAAACTGAGAAAGCAGGAAATCAAATACACGTGTATGGAGTCAGAGCTATTCATCCAGCCTTTCCTCCAGATATCAGCAAAACCAAAATGCTGTAGACATGGAGTGACAGAAGGAGAAACTATAAGACGAACAGATGATTCACAGGAGACCAAAGAAAACACATTACTATCTTCCTTCTAGAAGCAAAATCTATCTAAAATAGAAATTGCTTGAATTCATAAGGAGTGAAAAGCGAAAATACTAAGAGGATCAAGCTTAAAATAGCCAACATTGAGCAAATCTTACACTTGTGCTCGCGCGGGGTGAGGTAACAGACACCCATCAGTTTCCATGATTTCCCCACCCTTTCAGCCACGTCCCACAGCTCCCTCCAGGTTCCCCCCCAGCTCCCCAGGCCCTGGGCAGCGCTCAGGCCCCTCTCGTGGGGTCTCTGGACTGGCTGCGATGCAGTGGCAGCCCTGAGCCCACCTGGCTGCAGCTCCCCTGCATGGCCTGGTCCCACCTCGCTGGGACAACGCAGCCCCCACGGGGCTGGTGGGACCAGAGGGAAACACAGCTCGTCCCCAGTGTCCCTGCTGAAAATTCTCTTTTGGGGAAGTTCCTGTTCTGGAGAGGCTTGAAGGGGTGGGATGGATGGATGACTACAAATTAAAACTTCATCGTGGGGCTCAAAATATTGGCAGAAAGAGGTTTCTACCAAGTCATCATCATTTTTGTGAAGAATTTTTGATCTTCACTGATTCTAAGCAACAAGTTATGGCTGCTTTCTGTAAGGACTTTTTTTTAACAGTTACACATTGCATTAGAATACATAAAGTAAATAAAGGTCAAGTGCACAGTGGCCTTTAGTGATTTTATAGACTGAAGCCCTCAGCTGTCTGCAATGAAGCCAGTTTTGTTTTTTAAATTAACCTTTAAAAATTGTGTCAAGGATCTCAAAATCCTGAACATGCTAATTAAGGAGATAAACTAGGTTCAGGAGGAAATCAGTGCCTGAGCTGTCTGTCACAAAACAAGATCTTTCAGCTATTTCTCTGCTTTCATACTTCCCCCTTTTCCAACCAGTTGTACACGAGAGGTTTGGTTTGACTTTGGTTCAGCTGCGCCCTGCAGGGCAGCTGTTCTTGTTGCTGGGAGGGGAGATGCTCCACGTGCCAGAGCTGCTGCTGTTGACACCCAGTCAGTCCCCTTTTGTCAAGGGATATTTTCAGTCCATTTCTTCTGTATCCCGATAGTGCGACAAGCCACGTTTGTTGACTTGTTTTCCTAATCTCAGGGCTTCTTTTTCACCTTGCAATGTACTCCCGGATCTGTAACGTTAGACCTGATCTTATTAGGAGCGTTTAGATGTTTGTATAACATTTCACACCTCCCAGACCTTGTGTAAGCTGTAACTAATTCTCCCACCACGCCGGCGAGCTCCCGCACCGCTGAGTCTTACCTTGTGCATTACCACGGCGCTGCTCAGCCCCGGCTCTAAAGCGCTTACAGGTGGGAGGGGAGGTGGGAGGCGGGCTGGGACCCGGCCAAGGGCAAGCTGCCCGGAGATGCTGCCAGACACATTGCAGCCGGGTGCTGACCCACAGGCAGCATTACGTGCACCCTCGTACTCCAACGCTGATGATGTGCCCGGCCGCCACCCAGCAGAGCAGGGGTTTTACCGCACGAGGCTGCGTTTTCCTCTTTCTCTGCTCTGACCGTTGTGCCACCGTGAGCCAAGGATTAGTCAGCCTGGTAAAAGCTGTGTTTCCCTTTTGCCTTCGTCCTCCCCTGAGCAGGGGGGGCTCAGAGAGGCAGCACCAGGCTCCCAGTCCCGTGCAGGGACACAGGCACCCCCTGCCACACCAGCAGCGGGCACTGGGGTGTGGGAGCCCTGTGAGGAAAAGGCAACGGGAAGGTCATGACTGAGAATGAAGCGAGCAGTCATTAACAGCAATTAAGGACGACAGCAGCACAAACTGTCCAAGGCAGATCAACAAAGTGTTTTATATCAGTTCCCTTCCCTGCAGTCACGAGCTCTTTAAACTATTTATTATTCAAGCAATAAAGCAGCTCAACTATAATCCGTCTGCATTGCTAGTTGTACCTAACTTTTTAATCCATTAAGTCATGGATGCTTTAGCTAAAATTAGCAACCATTCAGCAGGGCTTTTTAGCACTCAATATGAAGCACAATATAAACATTTGTAATTGCCACCATGCACTAAAGGAGTGTACTGACAGGACAGGATTGCCATATGGCCCCGGGTTCCTACCCAGCTGATCTGGTGTTGCTCTGCACGGGCAGCTGGAGCTGGACGTGATGGCAGGGACACACTCAGCTCTAACGTCTGTTAAATAGCAAAAGTAGTACAAAAAGTACAAAACTTCACATCCTTCAAAGCTGTTGTAAAGTCTGAATGCAAGCAAGCACCATGCGTGGCAGCCTGGCTTGTCCTGTCCTCCCTGCGAGCCCCCTCCACCTCCCTCAGCTCTCTCCTCCTCTTCCTCACAGCATTCCCTGCTTCCACTCTGGAGGAGATGGGCCGCAAGGAAGAGGACGACAGCAGTTCCTGGAAGAAACAGACGAGCAATATCCGAAAAACTTTCATTTTCATGGAGGCCCTGGGATCGTAAGTACCGCAGCTGCTCCCCAGGCAGAGCCACACCAGAGATCTCCTCCCCAACAAGTCCCCCCTAGGGCAGTGACTCCCGCCGTGGTGTAGGCCAGTGGCACAAGCACTCATCTCCTGGCGAGCCAGCAGTGCTCTCCTGACGAGCCTGGGGTGCTGCAGCCCAGCACAGGTTTCCTGCTGGTGCTGATGCTCACCGAGTGGCACCAGAGCCACCCTGCATCCCCCTCACACGGCACCCCATGAGCTCTGTGCTTCCCTCCTTGCCCTCCAAGCCTGCAATGCAGCGTGTTTGTGATTCTGGGTGATTCTGGGCTTAAGTTTTTGCTCTTTCCCTTCTGAACGCACTGGTCTTCGCTGCTGCAAGGTCGAGTAAGGTCAAGGGATGGCTCTGAGAGCTATAATAACGTCGTGTATTTAGCTCATAAACCCTGAATCACTTGAGGGATGAAACAAGAACAAGGATGTTCAAGTTGTACGATATTTCTCTGTGAGTTAACAGCTTAATTTGCCTATTTGTGTGAATGAGACGAGAAAGCGTTTCCAAGGTGGCGGAGGAGGAATTGAATTACCTCCAATAGGAGATTCTGCCACGTCCAGATTTTCCCTGACTTTAGAACCCACAGCAAAGCTTCCAAGAAACAGCTACTCCAGAGCTCAGCTACGTTTTAAATTATCGTGTTCCTGGTCAGCCTCCGAAATTACTTAAATTACCCAGCAGTTTCCTGTAAAGGAATGAGGCTAGAAAAAAGGTTTTGCCTCTCCTAGCCAACTTGTTGATTCATCATTTTTTAATAAGGGGCATAATTATTATAAACTGTTTGGGACAGATATATAGAACAGATGCCCCAGCATCTGATTTGTAGGTTGTTCATTTCCTACTATTACATTAGTAGGAAAATTTAGTATAAGAAATTGGGATTTTTTCCACATGCACCACTTCAGCTAGCTGACAAAAATAAATGAAGATCGGGGACTTAAAACTACCTGGAAATTTCCCATCATCTTCCCAGAGCATCCATAACTGTTGGATTAGGGACCTTAGAGAGGACACCCCTGCCCATTCCTTGTTTTCAGGAACATGAAAGTATTTCCATGAGCCAGCCTTCAGAGCTCAAATGGATAAACAGAAGAAATGTGTGAAACAAGGAAAAAGTCCCCATGCCAGCTGATTTTTGAGCCAGAGGACAGAAGGCCATTACAAATAATTTACTGAGTGAAACCAAGATTTAAATTCATCTGTTGGGGTGCTTTCCTGAAAGTAAACATTTTTTATTTTGTTGTTGCTTTTAAAGGAATTCCTTAACCTTGCTGGGAAGCTGTCCTGGCACAATCCTAATTCCTTACAGCCCCCATGGTGTTTCAGGTGGTTTCACAGCACCGAAGCAGGAGGGAAGCAGGGCCCAGCAAGGAGCTGCCCCGGGCTCCTGCTCTCTCTCTGCATCGTTGCTGGCTGCCAGTAGCTAACACAGACACAGGAGCAAAGCAAAGCGCCAGATGGGCACAGCTCCGTGCTCACCAAACCCATCTGCACACTGCCCTGGGTCCTTTGTTAGTGGATTACAGGAGGTATGGGTTTCCTGCCCATGTTTACTGGGTTTGCTGCAATAGCATCCCAGCTGACAGCACGCTTCCACGCGCTCACCTTCCTCACTCTACCTGCTAGCGCCCTGCAGGGCTTGCAGACTCAGTGGCTTGTCCCATTTAACTGCCATCAATTAATCTGTTGTTCATTTGATGAGGATTGTTGGGGAGTGACCTGGCAAAGTATGCACTGTCACTGTCCCGAGACACGTGTTCTGCTGCCTGAGAAAAACCTTTAACAGGATTGCAAGCTTAAGACATGTTATAAATACCCGCTTCTCAGTGCACTGAGCTGAACCCCCTCAGGAAAGTACTAGGCACTCACTTGTCACGTTGTGATTAAGGTTACACAGGTATAAACAGAGAGAAAAACCCATTAAATGCTGAATGGAAATACTAAGAAACAGGCTATGGTTATCCAGTCATTTTCCTCTCTATATACACAAAACTTTGACTGATACACCCCAACTGCAACACAACTGGGCTCTCCTCACTGCAATTTGGCTGCCTCAGTCCTCAGGGCAATGCTGAGCAGGGAAAGTGAAGCACTGCTTCTGCTAAAACAAAGGCCCTTTGAGGAGACACAGTCTGTAGTAAGCAGGAATTTGGCCTGGCTGGAACAGAGGTCTCTGATCATTCCCCGGGGCCATTAGCTGCAGTGAGCACTCAAGCTGCAGGCAGCCCCATTAGAGGGGTGGTTGTCTCTGCAGGACTCGCACCTAGCCTGGGAAAATCCCCCGTGGTCCCAATGGATTGGAGAAGCCTGCTGCTGGCCGCCTGCCTCACCAGCAGCCTGCTCCAAGCCTGGACAGCTGAAGTTCATCAAAGCCTGGCACACGCAGACAGTCCTGAAAAAAGTGACTTAATTCCATCACAGGGAGCAAATTCATCCACTCCCTCAACATAGCTTCATGAGAAACTATGCAAATTTAACCTTTTCTCTACAGAGAATTTTTTATTATATATATACATATTGCAAAATCTTTTATTGCATATCCTAACTTTGGGTCTGCTGGAAATGTAGTCCCAGCTTTATCATCAGCATCCACTTAGAGTTTGGTTTTCCTGCTTTTTTCTCTTTCTCTCTGTAACTATCCTCCCAGTTCACAGGAGCAGCATCTATTGAAATACAACTTCTCCTCTTTGCAGAGGTGCCTTTTCAGAAGTTTTCCTAGTGAAACAAAGAAGCACTGGCAAGCTCTTTGCTCTGAAATGCATCAAGAAGTCTCCTCTCACAAGGGACAGCAGCTTGGAGAATGAAATAGCAGTGTTGAAAAAGTGAGTATGTATACATGGTGTAAAGCGAAGTGGAACAAATATCCTTTCCCAAGATGTGGCTCCAGAGCGAGACTAATACAAAGAAATAAGTATGTCTTTTTAAAGCATATACAAATACTGGTGCCAACTAGTAGAGTAGGAGCATTCCTTCTCTCATTCCCCTGCTGGGTTTGTAACCCCACCACAGCCACGCTGTCCCAGCCTGGGAAATGCAACAGATTGGGCAGAAGACAGGCAGGGAAGGGAGAGCCAGAGTTAATGCTTTTACAGTTCAAGTAATACCCCTGATGCCGAGAAGGCAGCTGCTCAAAAACTGAGGGTTTGCTGCTGGGACAGAAGGTGCTCTGAAGGAAGCTTGCTGGGGCATCAACGATCCTGTGCTGCATGGATCGGCCACAAAACAACTCAGTGAATTTGCATTCACGATAAAAGCAAGACAACTATTGGGTCTTCAAAATTTTTCCTTGCCAGCTTTGTTTCTGACCCGTGACTATCTTTGCAGAATAAAGCATGAGAACATCGTGACTTTGGAAGATATCTACGAGAGCACAACCCACTTCTACCTGGTCATGCAGCTGTAAGTACGAGCAGGGCTGTTTTGTGTAGGCCTCAGAGGAAGCAGGAGGCAGGCGCAGGGCAAGGCACCGCATCTCAGCACAGCCCTGTGTAAATTTGTGGGTTTTACCAGGGGTGCTTGCTGGTTCCTGGTGCTCCAGCAGGTGGACCCAGGGGAGTCTGCTGGCTCTGAGCCCTGCAGGGTGCTGCTGCTCAAGGAACTGCTCTGCTAGGAGGAAGTCAGCTTGCCTCAGAGGTGAAAGCACAACTGCCTTTGTTTAATTTTCTGGCTTTTTCTTTCTGAACTACCACTGTAACAGGGTGTCTGGCGGAGAGTTGTTTGACCGGATCTTGGAGCGAGGGGTTTACACCGAGAAAGACGCGAGCATCGTGATCCACCAGGTGCTGACAGCAGTGAAGTACCTCCATGAAAATGGAATAGTTCACCGCGACTTAAAGGTGAAGCCTGTCCCTCAGCCACAGCACTGCCTCTGCAGCCACATAGCTTTCCCTTCTCTGTCCCATGACTTTCTGCTGTTTCATTTTTCTACCACAAATTTCAGCCCCTGACTCTCTGTATTCACAGCCTGAAAACCTTCTTTACCTTACTCCTGAAGAGAACTCCAAAATCATGATCACAGACTTCGGCTTGTCTAAAATGGAGCAGAATGGCATCATGTCCACTGCCTGCGGGACTCCGGGATATGTTGGTAAGCCAAGGACCAGGAACAGGGTTGTACAGGTGGATTGTCAGGGAAAAAGGCTTTGCATTTACAGCACACTGCCTAGCAGAAAGGAAAAAAATACATAATCACATTAACAACAACACATCAGTCACAGATGCACTGCAGAGACACATAAAGAAATGGATTGCAGATGAGTTTAGAGACTGCAGAATCCCAGACTGTTTAAAAGCACAAGAAAAAGATAATTCTAAAAGCAATAGATTTCTCTGTTACTCATGTATTTATTGAAAATTTACAAAAGTAATTTTAAAACAATGGGATGTTGTTTAATGTCTAACTGCATTGGCTTGATCAGCAGCTTGCTGGTCAAACCCTCAGGGTGCAGGCAGAAATCCTCAGTGTTTCTTTCTGTTCAATGCTATAAAGTAGGTACAAAAAGCAGAGACTAACTGGTACAGAGGGCTGTTAATGGCTTCTGCACTGATACCTCAGATCCAAGTGTACAAGAAACTCCTCCTTCTCCCAGTATTGAGTCATTTACTATTGCTTGTAATTTTCATTTCTTTCTGCTTTTCTGCAGCCCCTGAAGTCCTCGCCCAGAAACCATACAGCAAAGCCGTGGACTGCTGGTCCATTGGAGTCATCACCTACATCCTGTGAGTAGAAGCAAAGAGCATCCCATTTTTTTCATGAGTTTCTCAACTTGTGTACTGCTTCGTACACCTCTGCAGTATGGAAGTGAGAGTGGAGGCGATGCCGAATCTCCTCCTTCCCTGCGGTAACAGCACATCATTCTTCCTTCGCACAGATTCACCACACCATAGAAACAAAAGGGATGTTGGGAATCAAGAAATAGAGCGGAGATGAAAGGAATCACATTTTTCTCTATTATGTGCCTCATCCTATCCTTTGTTTTTTGTTTTTTTCAGTTGCCTACAAGTATCATTCGATCTTCCTCTGTACATTTTGTTTCGTTTCCTCCCACACCATGCAGTTATGTTCCAGCTGTGGCTTTGTCCTTTTGCTGCTGCAGTTAAGTTTTTAACTCTTTTCTGCAGCTTTCCCAATGCACTCAGATGCGAGGGACAGATAGATTCCTAGAGCAGCCTCCTCTGTCGCTCACTTTCTCAGTGCTGCACACTGTGTGCCCAGCCCACCCGGGCTCAGGGGGATTGTGCAGACACAGGCACTGAAGGCCGTCTGTCCGGCTGCTCTCTTCCAGGCTCTGTGGGTACCCTCCTTTCTACGAAGAGACCGAATCCAAACTGTTTGAAAAGATTAAGGAAGGCTACTACGAGTTTGAGTCTCCGTTCTGGGATGACATCTCCTGAGTCAGGTAGGGCTCAAACACCGGCAGCGCGTTGCTTCCCCTGCCCTGCACAGCCACCGTGCTCCCGGCCCCTGCTCTGGAGCTGCTCTGTAAAGCAACTTCTAAAGCTGCTCAGTTCAAAAATTCAGTCCAAATTCACCTAATCTAAGCATGAGGTTAGGTACATCTCCAGTACACAATTTTTCATCAGGAGCACCTCACTACAAACACCTCCCTTTACCAGTGTAACAGGGCGGTACGAACGCCTCCTTCTCAGGGCTGACCTTTGCAGTGTTTGTCTGCCAGCGTTTGCCATGTCCCATTAGGATCGCATCCTGGAACAGGGAGGAAATAACCTTTTCTCTCTCTGCTTCTCCTCTCCTCCCAAACAGCCAAAGATTTCATCAGGCACCTGCTGGAGAAGGACCCGAACAAGAGGTTTACCTGCGAAGAAGCCCTGCGGCACCCATGGTGAGCGGAGTGGGTGCTGGCAGCGACTGCTGCCCCTGGGGGTTTGCCAGCCACCGTGCTGGGTGGTAGCTGAGAACGGAGGTGTCCCCCCAGCCCCTTGTTAACGTCACCGGCTGCCTCCGCATGGCCCTGGGTCTTTCTTTCTTCTGTGCGAAGAAAGAAGATGATGAATAATTAAAGATGCAATTTGTGTAATATTTGTCTCCATAAACAGAGGCAAGGAAGAAATCCCATTCTGAGCTTTTCCAAGCTTTGAAGTGTGTGTTTGTGTTACATTTTGTTGCTGTTTTTCCTTTGGGTTTAATTATTGCTGATTGAATGTACAAAGCAGTTAGTTGCCTCCAGAATGTGGAATGCCTTACAAATGCCATCTGCCTACGAGCCCATTTTCTTCTCTCCCCATCTGCAGGATTAATGGAAATACAGCCCTTCACCGTGACATATACCCATCTGTCAGCGCTCAGATTCAGAAAAACTTTGCAAAGAGCAAATGGAGGGTAAGTTGTTTGCTGTTGGGAGCCTAGAGCCATTTCAATAACAAATGCCAGTTGCTGCCATCTAGCAATGAGCAAGGCTTCGGCTGTGTGGGTAAGCACCCAAAAGCTGAGATCCTCCAAAGGCTGCCTGAAAATCATGTGCGCCTACTGCTTATATTGTGTTTGGACCAATATTCACTGCTGCATCGCACACCGTTAACATTTACCAAATACATTGCCCTGTAGTGCCCTTGCCAACAAAAAAAAGGCTAGAGGAAAAGGACTCTTGTCTCTGTCCTAAGGAAATGAAATAGATGCTCCATCAGCAGGTTTGTGAGCTTAATCCAGCTTTTCCTTCTTTCAGCCTTGGACATAAATTTGTTCTTCATCTATATCAAGAGTTTTTGTAAGAATTTAGGTAGAGAGAGGAATGCCATAGGAACCACTTCTATGATAGTATTCTAAATACTTACATTCAAAATTCAGCTCAAGCCTCCGTTTCACACTGTGGGGTAATTTACAGCTGTTCCCCCTGATTTCCTTATCTAGAAATAGTCGTAATCTTCAAAAGCATCAGCAGTTTGCAGTCAGGGGAAACCGCAGTGTTTGTGCCAGGAACGAGCACGTCCCACTTTCTACAAGTTGTGCAAACACTCAGGCAGCGCTAACCAGTACAGCACCATCATCCCCCCGTGCTGCTGCTGCTGCAGGGAGACATCCCTTCATCCCGCAGCAGGGAGACAGCCCTTCATCCTGCTGCACCCACACAGCACCACACCGCTAGGCACTCACCATGGGCTTTTTGTCTTCCTCCCCAGCAAGCCTTCAACGCTGCAGTCGTGGTGCACCACATGAAGAAGCTCCACATGAACGGCCACGCCGCGGCTGGAAGCACCCTCCCCGTTATACAAGTTTCAGAAGCATCCAGACCCAGCACGCCCAGCACCACCCAGCCTCCAACACCAAACAATGACAAGGACACATCGCTCCCTCTGGTCCCTGCACGAGCCTGTCCCAACCCTCCTGCTCTGCTGGAGCAAGACACAGGAACAAGAGAGGGAAAACTGCAAAACCCCCCAGTGAACGGATCGCTGCCTGCGGGCAGCAGCTCAGTCTCACCAGACAACCAGAGCCCACCAGCCAGAACTTGTGGCTGCAGCCCAGCCTGCATGGGGCACGAGAAAGCAAAGGCGTCCTTCTGCTCTGAGACGGTGCTCCTTAAAAGACCTGGAAAATCCCAGTAGGTATCCAAATCATTAGGCATAACTTCTGACAAAGTGTATGGGACGAACCCTCCCTGGAAGTTGCCTGGCACATAAGTTGCCAGCTCCAGGTGGAGTAGAAAGGAGGGAGAAAAAAGGCCAGAAGCAAACGTTGGACTGGATAGGTGGCAGTGCCCAGCCAAGCATCTTCTGTGCTCGTATGAGCATGAGGTGAGGCACAGTGCCCACGCTGCACAGCAAAGCTTGCAGTGAGCTGAGGGGGCAGGGGTTTGGTTGCCACACTCCATTTACATCAGTGCATTTGCTTTCCAGAAATTGAAATTGCCTATGGTTAAAGCTGCTGATGCCAGTTATTCAGCTGCTGCTGAGTGAGCACACCCTGCCTTTGCTGCAGTGTTGACTTGCACCCCTACTCTGCTTTCAGCAGATGATATTCTTTATATTAAAAATACAACTTTGGTTCACCTGCAGAATGATCAGTGATATTGCTATTTATATATATTTTTTTTCAATCTTCCTCTTCCAATTCTTCCATTTTTATCCAGTCATTTCAAATCAGAAGTTCTTGTTCCAATGAAAAACAGTAAGCACTCCTCTCACTGTGGGACTGGGCAGACTGGAGTTTGTTTGATTATGTGATGAGGACGGCAGCCACCAGGCTCCCCCATCGCCAGCGGTAAGTGCACCACAACCCAACGACCAAGCTGCTTTCAATTAATCCCATTACAGCGTGAAAAAGGGAACGGCAAGAATAGCAAAGTGCTCGTGCATTAAATAAATTGTCTTTGCAGTTTTTCTGCAGTAGAAAAACACCTTAACTAAATCATCTTTCAAGAAAGAAATCGTCTTTCAGCTTCCATTTAGGCCAGTCCAGTGACTCTAAAACCAATTGGTTTTAAAGGCAATTATTGCCAGCCTTTTATACCACAACAGGCTCGAACAAGAAGTGTGTGAAAGGAAGCAAAGCATGAACCTGGTATATCAAACACTTCAATTATTAATAGCTACTCTTTGAGAATCACACTGGAACCAAACAGCTTCATCAGCTGGGACCGGGGGCTTCAGCTGGGTCTCAGCAGTGGCCAAGAGCAAAGGGCTGACAACGAGCTGCTGGCTGGTGGCTGAGCACAGATGGGAGATATCCTGCAGCCTGAACAGCCCAGCCCTTGCCCAGATTCAGTCCAGGCAAGACAGTTCAGGTTGTTCTGTTACCAGAGAGCATTGCATGGAGATGTTTGTTTTGCAGGTGAGCAAGAAATAACAAAGTACAAAACAGAAAGTTTCCTCTGGTCTGACTGTAGCTCAGATAACTTCTTAGCTAGTCCAGAATTAAATATTTGCCCCACGTTGTATACAAGCAGTAAGGCCTATTGCTATTAGATTCTGGGAGAAAAAAATGGTCCTCAAAAGGTGAGCGTATGCTAGCATAATTCTCCATGAAAACTGCATCAAGAGATCTACGTCCTATCGTCTTTTATAACCCTCTCTACTGATGAGATTATACGGACAGAACTGTAATGTACAAAGGATCAATAGATGAGACAAATGCAAGTAAGATCTACTACAGATTCCAAACAGGTCAATTCCGATGATCAGTCATGTAATAGCCCTTTATAAATGCAGCATACAAAAGGATCTAAGCTGTTCCTAACCCCTGTGCTGCTGCTTATTAACAGAGCACATTGTGAAGGCAGCAGTTTAATGAAACAAAGTTCAATCCCCAATTGAAATTCTCTCTCTTGCAGAAACAGAAGGGCTGTTTTACTCTTTTCTGCACTTCAAAGCCAGACATCAGCAGTGCAAGCAAGAAGAAAGGAGGCTGCGTCCCGCCAGCAGCGGACGGGCAGCAGCATCTCGGAGAGCAGCGACCAACGGGTGACGAGCGGCACATTAGTCCTGGGAATCCATCAGTGCAGTGACCTCGGCGTGTTTCTGGATCGTTAAAGCTGGGACAAGGCACTTTAGCAAGGGAAAGTCTGAGGCTGCTGCTAGCATATTCAGTGTATATTATCCATACTACATTGCTCGATGCTGTAAAGCTTTTGTTTTCTGTATACTGTTTAGTTGTCCAATGCATAAGTGCACTGCACAGCACAGCATAAATCCTATAAACCAAAGCCATGCAGAGTTTTATTCAGTGGCAGCTCAGTTATTTTTACAACATGCACCCTACCCCTTTGTCGGATTTCAGTTCCTCCCAGGCTTCAGCTCTCTGCAGCTCAGTGACAAGCAGCTGCCCAGGCTGTGCAGTTCTCACTTCAGCTACAAAAGGAGACAACCTGCTAGCAACCTCCATATGTCTGATAATAATCACAGCGAGGTCTAAATTCCCTGCTTCCAAGTCCATAATTGCACAATAAATACTTGCTTAATAAAGCTGACTTTTGTTTTGTAAAGTGCCTGTTGGTTATTCATAGAAATTTGATGTGGTAACGGTCTATTAAGTCCCTTCTAAAACGTTCCCCATGCAGCTGCAGACCTGCTCCCTCTGGTACTTTCTGGCAAAATGTAACACGGTAAATAAGCAGATTGTGGCAGAAAGTCAAACGAGATATTTGACTTCGCATCTGAATATGAGATCGTGTTTCTCTTCATAGTAGAAATATAGGTATGTTGTACAGATACAATGGAGATAAAATTCTCCATTTCTGTGACCTGGTTCTTTGAAGAAAGAGCTAGGAGGGAAGTACTGAAGCCATGGCAAGTTGTGAAGATTAACTGCAGTGTGAAAAGCCCCAAACAAGGGTTTTAATTTGAACAGCGAAATCCAGCTACAAGAGCTTGAATTGGCTAAAACATGAAAAAGAATTGGGGGGAGAGAGGGGAGGGGTTGGAGGAGGTGGTTATAAACCCTTCTGGAAATAACAACATTGGAGACATGTTCATTATTTGCCATTAATGATCAATGTCTCTGCCCCTTTCCTCTGAGCCCAAGCAGCTTCAGCCAGTCAGTCCAACGTGAACCTCTCCATGGTTTCACTGCAGCTCCTCTCCAAAGGGACAGAAATTCCATTTGCTAAATACGCAGACGTTAGGAACATGAGAACTGCAGCCGGAAAATGGGAGTAAATACTCCAGTCAGTGTGTGCAGCGGAGGAAGGCACCACCTCGCTCAGGAGCAGCTGTCGTAGTAGGCGACTCGCTTGCTGATGGCATCCCAAATCCTGCCCACCCGCTCCTGCAGGCCTGACAGCCTGGCTGACTTGGACAGCAAGGCTCTGTTGCTTTCCTGAATTTCTGTCTCTAAAGCTGAGGAGAGAGTGCAGGAAAGGGTAATGTGAAATCACAACTGGAGGAAGGCGTCATGTCCAGTTTTCCTCCCCAGCCTGAGCCTCCCCCTCCCTCCTGCACCAAAAAAAAAAAACCAACGTGACTTTCCTCTGGCACTCAAAAGCCCTCCCCTGGTGCATGAGACCATTACACTGAGCTCACAGGCTTACCTGCCATCCTAAGCATCATTGCTGAAGTTTCCTCCAAGAGATCTTTTGCCTCCTGGCCTATGCTCTGCACCCGGCTGCCTTGCCCTCCTAGCGCTGGGCTCTGCTCCATCCTACTCTTCAGCTCAGCATACATTTGTTTCACCTGTTGCAAGGACTGTGGAAAAGCAAATAAATAATAAATAATAATAATAATAAGCAAATAAATGGGATTTTCCGATGTCGAATTGACTTTAAAAAGATAGAACCCATTTTAAATATTAAACAGATACTGTGCTCGAGCTCTGTGGTTACATTACTAAGCAGATGCACGACAGTTTGCAATGCACTCACATCGAAGCTGACCAGCAGCTGTATGAGCTCCTCTACCTCAGGTGGGGCAGAGAGCAGAATCAGGGAATGGCTCGGGCCCAGCCCTGGGTGCAGGACTCCAGGTGAAGCCTCCCAAGGGCGGCGCAGAGGGGTACAATCCCCTCCCTCCCCTGCTGCCCACCCCTCTGTTGGTGCAGCCCAGGACTCAGTTGGCCTTCTGGGCTGCAAGCACACACTGCGGGCTCACATCAAGCTAATAAGTCTTCAGCGAAAGGCAGAAAATGTAAAAAGGTCCTGGAAAACTTGAGTAGTTGGATCCTGCACCAGGTGAACGAAGCCACATGGTTGTGCCTGGATGGTGGCCTCCTCGCCCCATCCAGACCCGTACCAGGACACAGCTGGCTCAGCTGTGCCATGATGTAGAGCTTAGTGACATGGTTTAGTAGGTCAGAGGTTGGACTAAGTGATCTTGGAAGGTCTCCTCCAACCTAGATGGTTTTGTGTGTGTGTGTGATGATGGGAGCATGGCCGTGGCTGTGGTACCTGCTGTGCCCTGCCGGCCTTCTCGCCCGCTGCCGCCGCCACCTGCTGCGCGTCACTGGCCCGCAGGCGGTTCTGCCCCGCTGCCTGCTGCAGCTGCCGCAGCCCTTCCCTCAGCGCCGCCAGCTCCTCTGCCACGGCCTGCGCGTTCCTCTCGGCTGGGCCAAGAACGGCCTCGATCTGAAAGCAGAGAGCCACATGTCAAGAAGGAAAGCACAGCCAAGATCCATCTGCAACACGTCTTGCACCACGCAGGGAGCAGCTACGTGGCCTGGTGGACACGTCCCAGACTTGTCCCTGGGATTTCCATCAGGGACCATGGCTGGAACTCAGGGAAGCAGGCAAATGAGACATGCAGGAGGACGGGGTTTCACACAAAAAGCCCCCTTTCTCCAGTTCGACGGTCCAGGCCTCTACCAAGCTGGGGAGTTTCGGAGTTCCTCAGAAGTCACCAGCCCCCACTCACCTCCTCAACGCGCTCTTGGATGAACCGGAGCAAGGAACTGGAGCCCCTGATATCCCTCTGTGCCTCCAGCAGCACCGTGTTTGCTTGTTTCAGATACTCAACCACCTCTTCCACATTGCCCTCCACAGCATTTGCCCGGTTCCTGGGGAAACAAAGAAAGCAGAGAGTGGGCATGGATAATTGCATGGACTGGAGGTGAAGGAGGCAGAGGCAAAATAAGCTGGAGAAGCAAGACAGGACTGTAACAGAGAAGGCTGCAGTCCACACACACCATACAAATCTACCACAGAGCAGGTTTCTGTTCAAGAGAAGTGTGATTTCCATTTCACATCCCCCAGCAGAGAAAATGAACTGAGGGGAGAGAAAAGCCTTCTTTTAAATGATCTAGAAACACCTATTTTGCAAGTGGTGCAAGACAAAGTATTAAAAGGGAAGCAACAGCTACTGAACCAGTTTCAGTGAACACTTTTCTGCTTGCAGTGGGGCTGTTCCGACCAGGTGACAGAGCTTCCCACAGAAAGGCAGACTGCCTTGTCTCATCGCTTCCAGCAGGCTAAGCAGGTGTCAGACGCTATCAAGGAGTTTACGTACTTATCCCGCTAACCTTCTCGCTGGGATATTGCTGCAAGTCAACACGTGACAGAGCAGATGCTCCAAATTTGCAAGGGCACTCTGTAATTGCTTTTTAAGGGGCCATGGGATAATCCTTCCAACTTTCACCCAGAAAACAAATAGCCCATTTAATCCCCTCATGCTCTCTTGTGCAACTAGGATGTAGGTCACCAATATCAAGTAATAGCAGAGCAAGCCTGTCATCTCCTGTCCTAAGGGCTCAAGGAATAGAGAAAAGTCTGTTACTTTTGGTAAAGACCTGCTTGTTTTAGTATCCATAACAAGTTCTGTCGTTGGCAGCCAGACTCTTATTTGTATTGGGGTAGCAGAGAAGTGTATGTAGAGATGGCAAAGTCACTCTTAGCCACTCTACATACATAGAAGATTCTGGGCTAAAAGTAAGTCAGTCCAGCTCCAGCCAAGTTAGATTTCATCCTGAGAATCACCACATTCACTCCAGCTGAGTGACCAAAAAAAGCCCTTCAAAGCTGCCAAAGCTGCCAAAAGCCCTTCAACCAAACCAACCTGGCTTGTTCTGCCTCCTGCTGAAGCCGCTTGGCCTTCGCAATGTCCTCGGCTGTCTGGGCCAGGATGCTCTCTGGGCACTGCAGTTTACTAGCCAAATTTTGGATCTCGGTCATTTTTCTCAGGACTGCAGCAGCATCCGTGGGGAGACGCAGTGAGAGAACAAACTCACTGATTTCCTGGATTGTAGCAGGGTCCGTGTCTTTGTCTGCAGAGCAGGCAAACAGATGGACAATGTCAGAAGCAGGAGAGGTGAGGGTAGGAGTGCAAACACAAGGCAGGGTGGACGCAGATGCCCAGCTGCGGATGCTCTCACACGCACAGCCTCTTCCTTTCAGACAGCTGCCAGGGTCCACCCCAAATTCAGTCTCCCCTGCTCAGCTTCCATCACAGGGCAAGCTGGTGAGCAGAGCAGCAGAAACAACCCTTTACCCAGCTCTTCCCTTTTTCATTCCTTTCCTCTGTGTTTTGGTGCATAAGGACGGGATTCATTCCTGCTGCCTATTCCAGTTTTGTGCCATATCTTCAGGGGTTTTAAGCAGCCTGTTGATGCTCTGTGATTCTTTCTGTTATTCTGAATAACATTTCTGACATCTTTTCCCAGCCTGACTCTGTGTTACCACTCAGCATGGCTTGCCCTCAACACGCTGGTCAGCATTCTCTGGCACTTTTGATGCTTCAGACTTCCTGAGGCTCTTATGTGTTGTTACCTGGCCCTGGAGATTTGCTCAGGGTCTTAACTTCAGACTGAACTAAATCTCCCATTGATTACTGTTACAGATTACCAGGACTCTGTTGTATTTAAAGGACAAATAAAATAAACACAAAAACAGTGAGACAAAAAATTGTCTCACTACTGAGAAGCTTCCCTACTGCACAGAATGAAATAAGAACTGTTTTATATTCGATGTGAACTTCTCATTCATACCAGCAAAACTTCCAGGAAAGTACCGAAACACTGCCTTTAATTTGGCAAGGATTAAAATATGGCTAAGCCCAGAGCAGAGTCAGGTAGACCTCACTGAGTACATGAGGTTGTGTTTCAACACAAGCCTGTTTTATTGCACAAATAAAAGTTAATAAATTTGAGGAATCAGAAGCAGGCAAAGCCCAAGGGACATTAACCCAGTGATTAGCTCAGAAATATCTTCACTCATCATTAACACCAGGCAGCACCAAATGACCTGAATTTCTTATTCAGCTAATGCTCATGAGGCCTATTATGTTATTACAATCTGTCTGTGAACAATAAGTCATCCCACTGGTTTATAGGACAATGAGGAATTCTCGTGTGATTAACAGTCTGCTCCAGAGATCTGTCCATTTATCTCCCTGCGGTCAGTGAGGGTTGCTGGTAAACTTCTCTGCACCGTGGTCAGTGCTGACTACAAACCCTTGGAGAGCACCAGCCACAGGCACAGGTTTGTCCCCAGGCCCTGGGGACAGCGAGAGGCACAGTGGCAGAGCAAGGCACCAAAGCAATCTGGATAAATTGGACAGCTGAGAGCCTAACCGGGGTGAGCTGTTCAGCTGACTCCCTCGTACCCTGTTCTCATACAGAACATCACTGTAAGAATTAAATTTTCCATGTTCAAGCCAACCTGCACAGGCACAGGGTGAGCTTGGCAGCACTACCTGACAAGAAGTTTCGCACTTGCTGGATGAACTGCTGGATGCGCCGCACATCTCCCTCAATCTGGGTTCTTGTTACGCTCATCTGCTCCACCAGCCGCCGGACATTGCTCTGAATCTGATTAGCAGATGTCTCCGTTGTTTTAATCTGCAAGCAACAAAATCCTGATGGAGTCGCTTCTACTTGACCTGGAATCCCAGCAGCTCTACCCCAACCCTGAGTGAATTGGACAGGACACTTTGCAGTTCCACCATTTCCCATTTTTAGTGTGCCACTGCTTTAAAGGGTTGCAAATGTTAAAGATCGAGGGCTGGATTTGCAAAGGAAACTCTCAAAGAGGGGCAGTACTGTTTAGCTTCATAAAACACATTTGAAATGGATTTTGAATGACTTTAAAAACTCATTTCATCTTTGCAAGCCCTCCAAGGCTGTAGAAAAAATGTGCAACAGCACGAACACGCACTCACCAGCTGCGCCGTATCCCGCAGACGCGCGCTCAGGCTGCCCAGCTCCCTGGAGGCCTTGGTGGCCGTGCCGAGGGCCGCGGCGGACCGCGGGAAGGCACCGCGGCAGGAGAGGCCGGCCCCGCAGGCTGTGCCGTTGTCTCGCGGGCAGAGCAGCCCCTGGCACTGGGCAGGAGTGCACTTCTCCACGCGGAAGCCGCCGCAGATCTGGAGAGGGATGAGAGCAGCAGGGTGTTGAGGGCACCCAGCCGGCTGGGTGAGACCTCGCGGAGACAAACCAGTGTGCCATGGGGATGAAGAGCAAACATCTCAGGACAGCTACCCTTCCCCTCGTGGCATGGGAACCCCATCCAACTGCTGCAATTTGATTTTAGGGAGAGAACGGGATAAGAAGACCTGACACCAATGGCCTTCATTGCATGGCATCTTCTAAATGTTTCACCCACTGGAGGGGGCACTGCAGCAGGGGCACGTGCAAGCCCAAAGCCAGCGCAAGAACCAGAACCAAGGCTGATGGCTTGGAAATGTTTTGGTGCCCTGAAAAGCAGAGAGGGGAGGCTGGTGGTCTCCACAGCAACCGTGCATTAGGAGGCACTGAAATGGATCTCCATGGCAATAACAAAGCAGTGAAGGAGAAAGAAAAGAAACCTTATCCAGAAATTAAGTGGGTCTTTGAGATACGAGAACTGACACGTGAGAGTCTTTGGAGGAAAAAGGCGCGTGCCTGGGAGGGGGGCAGAGGAACACTGGGTATCTGTTCTCCTTTGGCAGGGGATGCTCAGACAATTCTCCCCTGACGTCCCAAAGCAGCAGTCTGCCAGGATGCCGCTGGGCTGCGTCCCTCTGAGCAAAGACGTCACTCTGCCACGCTGAGTGGGTTGACCACAGCGTGAGGCTTCAGCCTCCCGAGCACAACAAGGCTCACTCAGTGACCAGCCAGAAACCCACGTTGTGCTTTCACCTTGTTCGCTGCAGGGGTGAGGTTGGGGGACGAGGCCACCTCGGCCCTGAGAGCCAGCAGCTTGGTGCTTTGTGCGCCAGCTGCCCCCTCCAGCGCTGCGACGTTCCTGCGGTTCTCCCTGGAGCGGGCCAGCAGCGCGGCAGCGCCAGCGACGAGGCCGCTGGCATTGGCAGATGTCTGGTAAGCAGACCTGATCGTCTGGAAGGCTCCTGCAGGAATGAGAGCACTACATGACACGGATGCCTCCGTGACTCATAAATGCAGCAGAGCTACCTAAAGGAAGGCGTTGACTACACCCCGCGAGTGGATGTGTGCACAGAGAGGAGGGGGACACTGAGTGATTAGTCACTAAGGCACAAACAAAAAGCTCCCTTTATTTCCAAATGCCTTTCAGCCATTCCTTCACACTGAGCTGCAGGGCTGTCCTGAAGGACTGACCTCTGGTTCGGGGCTGAAGGACTGAAACAAAACTAAAGCAGAAGCCATGCCCAGGCTGAGGCTGGGCTTTGCTCTGTGCAGCGCAGAAGGGCTTGGTAGGGGCAGGACACGGGGCCCCGTGAACCCTTTCCACTGCTCCCAGGCAGCCCCCATCCCGTGGTTAGGGCACAGACCTCTGTGCCTGCTCGGGCTGCAAACCCCCGCGGACAGCAGCCACGCTCTGCAGCTCAGCACGGGGGAGGCAGCAGACAACAAGGCACTCGGAGAGAATTAGCTGCTGCAGGGATTTAATGGCCACCTACCACCAGCGGCATCACAGGGCTTAATTAGCTCTTCTAAGCGCCTGACAGCTCGCTGCCTGGCTCCCCTCCCCACCTCTCCATCCCTTCCATCTGTGCACAGCCCTCACTGCCGCAGCCGCCCCCCGGCTCCGTGACACCCCCTCTGCTGTCCCCCACCGGGCCGTGGCAGTGGCAGTGCTGCGGCACATGGAGCTGAGCTGGCCGGGAGGGACATGGCCCCAGCAGGACTTGGGGACACTGCATGCCGAGCTCCTGACCCCAGCCACCACAGCAAATAACCCGAAATCATCGGTCAGTGGCGAGAGGCTGGGCTGAAAGCATCTCCCGTGTGGGAGGCAGGGAGGGAGGGATGGAGGGAGGATCTGTTTGCTGTGCCTGGGCTGACAGAGGGTTGAAAACTTCATCTCCTCCACCTGGCCGGTGGGAAACCACCAGGCATGCAGTCACAGCGAGGTAAATTAACAGCTGCTAATTAAGAGATTTTAGAGCCGCAGCGCTGTACCTGACAGATCTGTGCCACGGCTGGTTTCAAACTGGGTCTTCTTGCTCTGGTACTGGTTGTTAATAATAACCAGGCTGCTGTTGAGGGCTTTGAGCTCGCTTGATAGAGAGGCAGTCACATCCAGCAACTGAAAGTTGGGGTTGATGCCTTGCATTTGCTCTCTGGGAAAGAAAAAGCAGAAAACGTGAATCTGAGTAGAGAGAAAACCACCCTCAGGCACAGACCAGGGCCCTCTCATGCAGGGATGCTGTGAGCACACGGTGAGCAGCCACTTGCCAGCCCCAACAGAGAGGGGCACAGGGCTACAGCTCCCCATGCTGGGTGCTCACAGGCACCGGGCACGCTGCCGCCAGCCGAAGCTGCCCAGCAGTTTGGTGCCAGGACAGAGAAGCCAGCACCTCCTCCCAGCCGCAGGAGGGACCCCCCAGCACGTCCCTCATCCCTCACCTGATGGCAGCGAGTGCGCTGCCCACCTGGGCCAGGCCCTGCTCGGTGCCAGAGGAGCGGCCGAGGATGCCCTGCGCCTGCTGCGCTGTGCCCTCCGCCTGCGCGAGGCGGGGGCCCAGGCGGGAGCCCCCAGTGCCCCCGGGCAGCAGCACGCTGGAGTTGCTCAGGACAGACTGGTGCAGGCGCAGGCGCAGGCGCTGGATGTCACCGTCGTAGGCGTGGAAGCAGGGGTGGCAGGGCTCGCAGCTGGGGTAGGTGCTGCAGTGGTCGCGCTGGCACTGGTCGCAGCGGGGGCCGGTGACGCCTGGGCGGCAGAGGCAGTGACCCGTGGATTTGTCACACCCCGCGCCCTCCGTGCCCTGGAAGTCGCAGTTGCACTCTGGTGAAGGCCATAGAAAGGGGAAAATGGAAATAAGTCAGGTCCTGCTAACTGGACACCAACACAATGCAGTCCATCCCACCCCGCAGTGCCTGGGGCGGAGGTGGTGGGGCAGAGGGGACGGAGCAGCCCCTAACCCCGCTGCTCGCCCAGCCCCTGACTGAGGGTCCTGCCCCAGCTGCCAGGAGGGGACACGTGGAGGGCAACAGGGATGAGCTGGGGGGGCTGCTCTTGTAAAATAGTATGGGAAAATGCTGCTGTCAGGACATGGGCTGGGTGCTGCTCTTCCAGAACAGCCGTGATTTCACAGCACTAAGAAGCACCAGGCCAAACCAAAACCGATGCTCCCTACCTGTGCACCCTACCCTGGCGTTTCCATAGTGCCTGTCAGGGCAGGCCTGCTCCTGCTGTGCGGCAGAGCACGTCCGCCCCGCGAAGCCTTCTCTGCACGAGCACTGTCCTGTGAACTGGGGAAGGAGAAAGCTGTCAGGGAGACCCAGCCCTGAGCGCTTTCCTGGGAGAGAAAGTGTTCGGCTCCCTGGCTGCCTAGCCTGGAATTTCCAGCCAGGGAGAGGTGCCCAGGGGGAGGGATGAAGCAGAGCAGAAGAAAAGCAGCACCTGAAGCAAAAGCAGCAGCTTGTTCCCCACGCAGCTCCTCTGCGGGGGCAAAGCAGCGAGCACTGCTCCCCGGTACAGAGGGGGCGAGATGGAAGGAAGTGTTTTTGTCACCTGCTGTCACTCTTCTCCTCAGCCCCTGCCCTCGGATGTGGCCGCAGGCTCAGCAAAGAACAGAGCCGTGGGGCCAGATCTGCAGAAAGCCTCTGCTCACGGGCACTGCAAAGCCGAGCAATGGTTTTGTTCCCAAAACAAAGGAATCGCCCACAAGCAAACAGTTTGTGGGCTCAGGTCTCCTCCCTGCACTGTTTGGGCCTATCTTTGGCTCTTAGGTTTTGTCAATGCTTTTTTACATTTAGCTTTAATTTTCTCAGCTGTCTATTAAGACTGAAGTGACACACATGCTTTGCATTGACAAATGAGGATAATTAACTTGCCTTGCCTGTGCGAAGATCTCTTATTAGGATTTCCTTACTAAATAAATATCAGGCCTTTTAAAATGGCTTAATCTTGCCTTCATAATTACCACCTCCATTCACTTTCCTGAGCACCCTGTCATAGGCTTCTAGGAAACGGGCAGAGGAAAACAAGAGCAGAACGTGTTAGGAATCACAGTGCCCCTCTGTGGAGGCTCCCAAAGGTGGGACGGGGCAGACGGAGCCACAGGACAGGCGCTTTTGATGCTCTGAGCGATCAATAGTAAATAGTGCAGATTTTTTCGCCAAAGGAAAATCAGTGCAGAGCCCACTGGTGACCACCCAAGGGTGCTCGGGGCATGGTGGCAGTGGTACCTGGTTGCAGTGGGTGCTGAGGGAGCCGCCGGGGTGGCAGTCGCAGGGCCGGCAGCCCCGGCCGCTCGCCATGTCCCAGTGCCCGGCCGCGCACTGGTCGCATTCGGCGCCCACCACGTTGGGCAGGCAGGAGCACTGCCCCGTCTCGTCGTCACAGGGCATGTCCTGCCGCGTTCCCAGCACGTTGCAGGAGCATCCTGAAACGAGGAGGGTTTCCTTGGATCAAAATCAGGTGCTGAGCAGCAGCCTGGCTTCCCACAAAGCTGGGAAGCTGCTGCCCAAGACGTGCTCTCCTTCCCCTCCCTGTGCGGCACAGCACAAAGGACACAGCCCTGCTCTAGCACCGTGGTGCCCGCCCGAGCCTCGCAGACAGACTCAGCAGCCTGAGCATCCTCCGTGTCCCCAGCGCAGCTCGACGTGTTGGAGCTGAGCCGTGGCTGCCCTCTGCTGCGCACAGCCCAGCTCGCCCACATGGCATCGCCTGCAGCATCCCCGCAGCTTCCCACACCCAGGGAGGTGCTCGGGAAGGGGACACAGCTCCCCACGAGCCTTGAGCTCTGCTTTCCCTCTGCTTGTGGCCAAATGTGTACCTGAGACAGGCTGCAGCCCGAGCCAGGAGCTTTACAAGCTTTTGCAAATAGGGCTTTGTCTCAGAAACCCCAAATCAGAGCTGGCTGGGAAGCACGGCCCTTTCAGAGCCGCTGAGGATGCTGAGGGAGGAGGCGGGTGGGAAGCAGGGGCTGCCTCGGGGTGTACTCACTGCGGCAGCCCATGGGGTTGGCATGGGCCAGCTGGGCGAAGCCCGGCTTGCAGAGGTGGCAGCGCTCGCCCTGCACGTTCTCCTTGCAGACGCAGCGCCCCGTGAGCGGGTCGCAGATGGAGCCCGGCACTGTGCCATCAGGGTCGCACTCGCAGGCTGGAAACATGAGAGAAGTGGCATGGCAGAGGAGCCTGGGGATCGGGGGGGGCTCAGGGAGGGCATGACAAGGGGTTAGCCAGGCACTCACGCAGACAGGCTTCAGGATGGGTGAGATCTTGCCGCTGGTTGCGGAAATAGTTCGTTTGGCAGCGCTCGCAGTTGTTCCCCGCCGTGTTGTGCTGGCAGTTGTCACAGACGCCCCCGCTCACCCCGCCACTGCTGCGGAAAACCTCCGGGTCGAAGTGGCATGAGGTTGAGTGGCCGTTGCAGTTGCACCCTGAAACAACCCCAAAACAGCTCATCTGGTGCTGGAAGTGTGCGAGACCCTCCAGCAGCCGGAGGGCACGCTGTCACTAGAGGGTGCCCGAGTCTCCTGCACGGTGCACTGGCACCCAGTAAGCGCCCCAGTATGGAGCTGGAGCCCACTGGGCAGAGTGGGAGAGCATGACTGCACCCTTGGCATCTCCTGGCCACAACCCCAGCAAAGCAAAGCCAGTGCCAACACTCCAGGAAGGCGTTCTGCAGAGATGTTTTGTGCTCAGGGGGAGGAAAGGGGAAAGGCTGTCACCGTACGCTGGCACTCGTGGGGGTCGTTGTCCTCCGCGGGGGCCCACGGGCGGGCGTTGTAGAGGGCAGCGCAGCGCTCGCAGTGGGGGCCGGCGGTGTTGTGCTGGCACTCGCAGCGTCCGTGGACCTGCTGCAGAGACCAGGCTTTACCCCACCTCGCCGGCAGCATCTGCTCGGGTCTGAGCTTTGCTCTCCTGCTGCCCTTCCAGCACTGCCACCCCTGGCCTGATCCTGCCCAGCTCCCAGCTGGAGACGGGGCTCCAGCACCCAGGCAGCCCCACCACGGCACCCGGGATGCGCTGCTGCTCATCCTCTGAGGCAGTGCAATTCCCATCCCACCACCTGCCCACGGACAAACACCTTCCAGAAGAGGACAAGCAGAGGCTGGGGATGAGACAATCCGAACAACCTGTGTTGGAGAGCCCTGCTGGAGGTGCAGGAGCCTGCTGAAGCCTTCTGCGTGTGCCCTGCCAGGCCAGGAGACCCAAAGCGGGTGCAGCAATTACCCCCAGAGCATGAACTCCCACAGCCACTGAGCTCCTTAACTGAAACCCCTTTACCTCCACCCCATACAAGACGTGGGTTTGTGCTGGGGTAACACAGGCTGCTGTGTCACGGCCACCACCCCATTTCTGCAGGCAAACTGGGCACCGTTACAAACAGCCTGCTGGGGAGCACCCCTGTTGGGGGGGGTGACGGAGCCTGGTGTTTCCCCCAGGCTTGGGGAGGGTCTGACACCATGGCACCATCCCCGGGCTCACCATGGTGTGGGGGTCTCCTGACGGGGCGCAGCGGTCGGCGTGGCCATTGCAGAAGCAGCTTCCCAGCACCTGCATTTCTGTCACAGCGTAGAAGGTGCTGGGCGAGTGGTAGCCCTGGCGCAGGACGTGCGGGAGCTGGGTGAAGTTGATTCTGAGGTTGGTGAATTGCCCCAGCCCTGCTGGGGACAGAGACGCGATGTGAGGGGGCGGCAGGCACCAAGGTACCTCTACAGAAATGCCTCGTGATGCGCGTGGAGGGCTTGAAGAGATGGGGATGCCAGCATCAGCACAAAGAACAGCGTCTGAATCATCAGCAAAGCCCCAAAGCTGCTCCTCGACACATCAGAGGTGCCAGGGTGGCCTTGGGACACACAGCAGCTCGGGGCCTGGCTGCTCCCCGGCAGGGCCGAATCCCCCATGGCACCTCAGAATAGCCAGGAGCTGCCCCCTCCCTCCCCTCCCAGACATAAAGGAGGCTGGTGGCTTACTGCTGACAGCCTGGCTGTACGAGGTAGTAATGGTCGATGCCAGATCTTGGACACTGAATTTCACCTGAGAAGGGGGAAAGAGAAAATAAAAAAGAGAAAAGTTAAAGCCCAGGACAAGCAGGGTGCTGTTCCTTCCTGCCCTGGGCAGTGAGGCTGTGTGTGCTCCAGGCCTGCCTCCTCTGCAGAGCCCTCACTTAAGGCAAGGAAAAGGCCCCGGAGGGTTTTGCAGGAACCAACACAGCCCACAGAGCAGGGCTTTCCTCTCAGAGGAGCTCCCCCCCAGCAGTGCTGGATGCACACCAACTCCATCCCTCTCCAGGTGCAATACCTGCAGGTTTCTGGGCCACCACAAGCTTCCAGGACATCACATTGGCCACCCTCCCCAGACCCAGGGTCACGCTGCAGGGCACAGGCACCTGCTGGGTCCCTTCCCCAGCCCCCCAAGCCCCTCCAAAATCTCACCTTGCCCCCGTGCGCAGGGTACCTGTGCTGGGCCTGCAGCACCTGGCACCGAGCGTCCCCCCAGCTCTCGGGGAGCCCCGGGGGACGTGGGGGAAGGCGGTGGCACAGTCGGAGGCCAGGTACTGGTACACCTCCCAGGTCTTGCCGAAGTCGGTGGAGCGCTCGATCAGCATCGCAGTGGGCAGCGGCGACTGCAGCAGTGGGGAGAGAGGCACACGTGTAAGGCCGTGCCCCCAGCTGGCTTCCACACGGGGCAGGATTTTTCAGCAGGATGGGGGCCCAGCACCCTGCTCTGCTCCTCCCAAACACCAGGGGAATGGGGGAAAGGGAGAATGGGGCACTATTGCTGGCCTGCTTCCTATCGGGAGCCTGGGGGGAGCCATGCACTGAGACCCCCACGTGTCACTGAGAGCCAGAAATGCCCATCCACCACCACCCAGGCCATCCCCACGCTGCATACAGACCCTGAAGTCAAGCACGATGCCGTCGAGCTGGAACTTCTCATCCAGATCCAGCTGCAAATAGACGCGCTCTATGCCTGCGGACACAGAAAGGCAGCTTCAGAGATGCAGGCTACAGACTTTAGAAAAACAAACCATTTTGCTGCCCGAGCCGAGATGCCTCTTTTCTCTCTTTCCCCCATCCCACTGAACTCCACGCCTGCCCTGGCCGCTGCCGGGGGCCGGCACTCACCGCTCTGGGACTGCCACCAGCGCGCGCGCCCGGCGGAGGACAGCACGTTTGCGATGCGGTGCCCGTTGTGGGAGTGCGGCAGCCGGGAGTCACACCTGCAGCATCTCATGTTCCACTGCAAGGAGAAAGGGTGGGTGGGAGCCCGGCCGGGCACGGACCCAACAAAGGCCCCACAGCCACCGGGCAAAGGCCCAGTGCAGCAGGGACTGAACCGAGGAGCACGCGGCATCGATGGAGCTGAGCTGTTGGAGGCCTGGGGAACGATGCTCGGGACCTGAGCAGTTGCCCTCACTTCCCATAAAATAAAATAATTAAAAAAAAAAAGCAACTCATGAATTTAAGGATTAAAAACCAAAACCAAAATTGTTTTGACTAAAACATATTTTTGGCAAAACACCAAAAAAATGTCTTTTTCAACCACCCCCCCCCTCTTTTCCGCAATGACAGCTCTCGATAAAAAGCTCTTTGCAGCTTTTCAGCACCAGCTTGCCTTTTGCACAGGGCTGAGCGGGCTGTTTGTTTGGGCTAACAGAAAGGCCTTTCTCTCGCATCCAAAACCCTGCACGGGGCTCGGCCCCTCTGCACTCTCCCCTCCGAGCAAAGCGGCAGCAAACAGCTCGGCGGGTGAAAAGTCAGCGGGTGGAAGTCGAGTGGCTCAAAGTTCAGCCCTTCACTTGAGCAAGGCATTCAAGGAGCAAACAGATGTGGCCCAGGGAACACGGGGTCTGGAGAAAACAGGGTCCCCGGGGAGCAAACAAATCCCCAACCAAGCAACGCGCCGTGCCGGTGCTTCCGAACGGCTGCTGGGTGCCCGCAGCACATGAGCGGGCTCAGAAACACGCGGAAAGGGGCAGAAAGGAGATTGAGCAAGAGACGGGACAGAGCAGGAAAGGTCCAGAACCTGGCCAAGGGGAGAGCTGGGCACAGAGAAGGGAGATTGGCTGGGTGAGGGCACCACGACATGGGGGAACCCTGCAGGTGAAGCTGAGGTGGGGAGAAGAAGGTGCCGGGGGCCGGTGCAGCCGTGGGTGATGACCAAGCCTGCGGCAGACCCGCAGGGGATGGCCTCGGCTGCAGCACCCGGCACCGAGCTACGTGGCCATCAGGCAGGGGAGAGCACGAGAAGGGCACTCAGCACCTCCAGCCGGGCACCACAAGGACGGAGAGCAGATGCTGCCTGCTGGAAAGGGTCCCAGGGCTGCGCATCAAGGAGGGCGGTGAGCGGCATAGGGCAGCGTTGTCCCAAAAGCCAGAATGATGTGAATTATTTAGGCTGGAAGCTGAAGTCATTGGCCAGCAGAGCTGTGAAGCAGCAACCCAAATGCTGGGGTGGGGCACGCGTTTCACCCTGACGCATCCCAAAGGCTGAGAAATTGGAGAAGATCAAGCGCTGCATTTGCCCACGGTGTCAGGATCAGCCGGGACGGCGCGGAAAGGTCGTCCTGGAGGAACTGGGTTTGATGGGAAAGGAGGGGAGCCCCTGGCACCAGGCACAGCAGCTGTCACTGGGACGGCAACATGACACCCCACTGCGAGGGCTGGTGGCCGTGAGATGGCACCGGAGGCGCGGGTGGATCTGGGACCCCAGTGATGGGATCGGCTTTCAGCAGCAGAGCCACGCAGCAGGCGGCAAGCAGTGCTTTGTACCCCTCTCCGTGCTAAAATCGCCCCATCTGCTACTTAAACAAAGGAGCAGGTTCCAGCTGATGATCCTACACACGCTGGGTTTGGGAGAAATCTGTGCCTGGGAGAGGCAGCAGGAGGCAGTGGCAGAGGGTGCGGTGGGACGAAGGTTTTTGTTTTCCCTTTTAAACCACGGAAAGGTCAATTCATAGTTATAATTATTTCCTTACTCCTGAGTTAGGATCATCTAAGTCAGTCAAGTCTTATTTCTACGAAAAGGGACTCAAAACCATCAACACATTTTTTTTTCTTTTTTTTTTTTAACTTAAAGACAAATTAACGGGACAACTGCCCAGGGGTCAGCTTCCAGCACCCCCCGAGCTGAGCTCCCTGCCCAGGCCCAGGAGCCTCTCGGCACTGCACTGGGCAGGGAGAAGATGCTCAGCGTAAACCAATCTGTTTCCATAATATTTTCCACTCTTTATGTTCTCTGTCTATAAATATCCCAGAACAGGAGTTGGCTAACTACAATATTTATAACAATATTGCAGAGTAAGCAAACAGAGAGGCTTCAGACTATATAATCATGCAATTTCCCTGGCTTTACCAACTCCTCCTGGCTCTGCCAATAAAATCAGAAACGTTATCTGATCCAGTCAGAAGAATTCATTGCAGATAATGACTGCTAGCAGCAGAGTGTCAGGAAAGCTACGGCAATTATCCCCAGAAATAATCTAGCCAACAATTGCCAATAATGATTAAACTTCACAACGGTTCTGACTGTGATTAGAGCAGGGGGGAGGAAGGCTTCCTGCAAGGGGAAAGGTCAATGTCAGCTAAATAATTCAGTGGGAGTTACTCATGCATACTTATGAAGACCATTCATAGGGCCACAGACACAAACACATCCTAGCCACCACGAAGCAGAGCTGGCAGCAAACCTTGGCCAATTTATGGTTTCCCTGCTTTATCTGCGGGGCCCTCCCAGCACATCCCAGACCCCTGCACAGGCTGTGCCTGCTGCCAGCCCCACAGCACCAGGGCCCAGGGAATTTGGCTCCATTCCCTGCCAAGGAGGAGAAAAAAAAATTAAAAAAAAAAAATTCCTCCCACAGCCACAGACCTGAGTGTGAAAAGAGTGTTGTTGCCCCCCTCCCCCTGCCCCGATTTTTATTGAGGCTAAAATTAACACTGGAAACAAAACTCATTTCATGTACTCTGAGCATATTATGAAATTCCTCTATTGCACAACACAAGAATTCACTATTACTGCCTGTGACTATGTGTCTCAAAGTTCCTTGGGACAGAGGGAATTACCAAAAATGACATTCCAGCTCCGGGTTGAGGGGAGAGTTTCCAGGAGCCCATCTTTCCCCAGTTCTCCCCCTCATTTTCAGCAGCAGAGCAGCAGCCTCAGTAGATTGATCTGAGCCGGGCTTGCCAGGAATAGACCAGGGCTGTGGGAGGACGTGACGGGAAGGGAAATTCAGAGGGCACAGTCCAAGCTTGGCCACCAAGCCCCTGGCCCCGGCTCTCCGTCTCTCCTCCCCTCCCTGCCAAACAGCAAAGACCACAAACCGAGTGCTACCGGCACGAAGAAGGGGCGTGAGCTCCAGTAGCTGTCAGACCCAGGGCTGGAAAGGGATAAGGGATATAGGAAAGCAAAAGAAAATGTAGGTCTGCTTGGAAACTGCTAGCTGCCCTCCTATCAGGAGAAGGACATTTGAGAGGAAAAGCTAGCGCGTTGAGAATAAACAGGTTTGTGGTTTAGAAAGAAATGGTGGAGGAAAAATAATTATGCAGAGGAACAGCCAGCTGCTGGGGATGTCAGTACATTACATGGAAAAGCAGCCCAAACTGCAAACCGGGATGCATGATGTGCTCCACGAGAGGAACTGAGCCCATGTCTCTGCAGGTGACCACCAGCTGTGAAGGCTCCCCCGCGGCTCTGCTTCAGGGTTTTGCTGCTCTCCTGCTCCGACCTTGGGAACCAGCTACCAACTCACCTCCCGCGCCTCCCCTCCCCTTTTTTTGGGGCAGAAAACCTCAAACCATTCGAAGCTGATGGACTCTGCCCAAAGTATTTCACAGAGCTGCAGCTGCCATTTCAATACGAGCAGAGAGCCCTTGAAACATAACCTGCTGGCAGAAGCGTGTAACCCAAAATAAATCCCATCAGCAAATATGGGAAGCTGCCTCTCTCCAGTCATGAAATGGAAACCTTTAATCGCTGTGGAGACCTTGGAGGCCCTGTTCTTGTCCCGGCCCGTGTCAGTCGGAGGCAGTGTGTCAGTCGGGCTCCTGGCACGCTGCCTCCCACAGGGGACCTCGTGGGGTCTTGCACGCTTAGTACCGCCCGGGACGGTAATTGCTGTGCCAGGTTTATTTGGGGACAGCGTGGAAGGTGGTAGGAATTCGTATGTATATGTGTGCATACAGAGAGGCAGAGCATTATTTGAAAATAGGGTTGGCAGCAAGACGTTATGTTAGGAACAAGGACACCTGTTAAAGCTGAGTTATGCAATTCCCTTTTCCAGCCCGTTTGACTTCCCCGCTAGCACCAGCTGCACAACATTTCCGTACCGGGCCAGCGGAGCAGTAAGAGCTCCATATGCTTCCCACGGGAAGATGCTGTAGAGGTTACCCATGGACGTCATCGTGGTTAAACTTCTCAGCGAGAAATTTGGAGCTGCAAAGCTGGACCATGCTTCAGCTCGAAGCACAGGTGGATGTGTTAGCCACAACATCCCACGCCACCTCCTTGCTTGGCTGGTCAGAAGTGAGACCATGTGCTCTGAGGTCGTGCTCAAAACATGAACAGAACTCTGTCTCTCCAGTCTGGTTTTACTGGCACTCCCCCAAATTCAGAGGTGATCGCAGGAGCAGGACAAGCATCCCATGCCTGAGGCTTAAGGAAACGAAGTTCATTCCTCTTGCTTAAAAGCAAGCATGTGGGTGCCTGTTTTCCTCACCCAGTCTGTTCTCGCATCATCTCCCCTCAGAAAAGCTTTATTTAAAACCTGCCAGGATGACAGTCTGCAAATCCATCCTGCACGAGCTGGGCCCAGCTCTCCGCACGCTGCTGGGGCCCGGCTGCCTCTGCAGCTTGTCTGCGAGGGGATGACGTGATGTCTCAGAGCATATGTGGCAATTTGCACTTGTGTAGCAAAAAAAGATAGAGAGAATGGAGGAGGAGGGGGAAAGAAGTGGGAAATTGCCTTTTTTTTCTTCTGAATTCACTGCAGGTAGAGACACATCCCTGCAGCCAAGAACGAGGTGTGTCTGGATGCCAGAGCAGGATGTGATAAGCACAGGGCAGCAACCCATGGCTGCTCTGCTACCTCCGATGGGTCAGGAATACAAATTATTCGGCGTGAACCTTGACATTATGAAGCAACAGCCTACACCAGGAGCCCTGCGCTGAGCAGGGGGATCCCCTGCGGTCCCATCCGACCACAGTCATTTCCCAGTTCTGAGGATGCTTTTTTTCTCTGCAAAAGACTTGGGTTTGATTCACAACTGGGGTCTAAAAAGCAAACGAGCTGGGGGGCACAGGGGTGCTTAAACACAATGGGGAGAGATGCTACCGACCAGCCCTGCCACCAGCACCAGGAGAAGCCCTCTGCCACTGCCCGGTGGTCTTGCACTCCTGCACTGAGTTGTGCACGGATTAGGCTCCTCGGGTGCCTGCCACCTCGCATCCTCACCCAGCTAACCCCACATCACAGCATGAGGAGGGTGATTCTCACCCTTCATTGCTCACATCCTCCACACGCCCATGAAAAGCAGGTGAGAAAAGGCAGAAAAGCTCAGTCATTGACCTTACACAAACAACATTTTCATATCACAAGTTTCCCAGGGTCAGGGTGGGAGGACCCATGTAATTGCCACATGGACACAAACTGCTTTGCTCTAGGAAGTGGAACAAACAGAAGGAAACCCGTTTTTTCCTTATCTTGCCTCTTTGACAAAAGATTTCACAGTGATGTGGAGGGTGCTTCGGATACCTCCGAATTAAGAAAATATCCAGAATAGTCTGTAGCTATTTTCTAGTTCTGAATAAGTCCTCAAGCTGAAAACATTGCAGGAGCCCAGAGGACAGAAGCATCTCTTGAGAAGCATTGATCTCATGCAGCAAGAACCAGCCAAGGCAGTAGTGTTGCAGAGCCGAATGCAGCACGAAGCCTTCGCGCTGTCCACAGAAGGGGCAGCCGGGCCAGGAACCTGATAATCCGCGTGAAAATCACACCACACCTTCCCTCAGCTACAGCTGGCGGTGTCATTGCCCATATTGCTACCAAAGCACTATGCTTAGCATTTAAATACAGAGATAAGTTAACGGGGCCTTGAATCACACCTCGCTCGGGAGTCTTGCCACATCCATCAGTGCCTTTAGGACTCCAAATCTAGGGCCACCTATTTTTCCCTTTCATTTTCCATCTTCCTTTCGCTTCCCCGCTGACTCCAACAGCCATTTCCTGAGCACTGAGTGGTTTCCATTGGTCTGCCTGGTTTCCACCCCCCATCACTTTGCTAATCATCGCCGCAGTCCCTGTGCTATAAATGGCCATTCCGAGGCTCTCCTGGCTTTCGCAGCCAAGGCATGGAGCAATCGGCGGTGCAAAGTATAAAGGTTAGAGGGATCTGGAGCCAGAATGCTGGAGCAGACAACGGAGCAGGGGCCGAGATCGGTGCCCACAGTGAGCAGCCCAGCAGCATTGCAAAAGAGCCCCCGGGGGGCCGCGGGGCTGGCGGCGGGGCCAGACAGCTCGCAGCCGCCAGCTGGCACGGGGGCATCGGCAGCCAGAGCAACCCCTCATCCCATGCCCTCTGCTGAGATTGCAAAACTGACTCCAGATTTGTACCTATTTGGCACCAAATCACGAGCGAGACGTGTAATCAAAAAAAAAAAAAAGGCAGAAGAGTCGACAAATAAACTGTCCCACTTTTCCACGGGATGGGAAAAGGAAAAAGTGAGTTCAGGGGATTAATTTTTGCTTAAATTTGTAAATGTTTAATGCATGAGGATTTCTCCTTCTGCTAAGATAGGAGCTGAAGTACCCATAACTTGCAGTAGGCATTACAGCTGCAAAGCAGAACAGAAGTGAGGGGCTCTGATTCCAGTAAAGGAACGGGTCACATATGTGAAGGCACTGGGCGCCCAAAGGCCCTAAAGCTAGAAGTGGTGAATCCAAATTAATATACCACTGTTAATTGTTCCAAAATCCTTTTAACCCTGGTAGTCATTACACACACTAATTCTGCTCCAAAATTAACATAAACCATGAAGAAAAAATAAACTAACTCAGACCAGAAATAATTCCTTGCCTTTTTCCCCAGCTTTGAGAAGCAGCAGGGGTTCTGTGCTCTGCCCAGCAGGCGAGCAACCAGCCCTGCTCCTGGGAAGCCACTGGGAGCCTGAGCGGAGGCGATGCCTGGCTGCAGATCCCAGGCCTGACAAAGGCCAGCACTGCACCAGGAGAGGAGCCAGGGGATGTGATGCTCATGTTCGTCAGCCAGGGAGCTGCCCCAGCTTCACACCAAGCAGCAGCTCCCAGCCGCACACAGCTGGGAGGTCTGCAGCCCAGCGAGACCACCGCCAGCTCGCTGCCACACCTGGGCCTTCAGGTTTAGGGGGAACGAAAGCAGAAGAAAGCTGACTCACTTGAGCTGGATTTCACTGTAGAGAGCCACGTGGAGGTCTGCCATTTCCTTTCCTCTTGAGCACCTCTTACAAGCACCATCCCAAATCCCCTCTTGCCTGCCCTGCGCTGAACCCGCTCCTTCCCGAGCTCCCCCCGCTGCAGCTGCATTTCCAGACCAGCACAGAAAGGCTTTAGGAAGTGTTCACGTCACAGACATCACCCTTGGCAGAGCATAGAGCTTAAAATGCTACAGAATTATCCATAATCTCTGAGTTTGATGGTGGCTTTGGAGCCTGGGAATCTGCAGCTGGCTGCAACGCTATCCCCTGAGCACGACTTCCTACCCCCACACAGCCGAGGAATTGGAAACAGCTGCTCAGCTCAGCAGCTTTTCCAGTGAAAGACCTGGAATGCTCCCACTTTGACAACTGAAATATGAGTTCAGTTTATAGCTGAAGAGGCTGGGGATCAGAAGGCTTGGGATTTTTTGGATGCAGAAGCTTCCATTTTGGCCCCTTCACAGCCCCTGCCCATGAGCCGTGCTCGGCTCCTCTGCTCTAACAAGGGGGCAGAGGAGGACACCGGGGCTGGAGGGGACACGACAGACTGCGCAGTGACCCAACAAGACTGGGAGGGGAATAATACCTGAAGTAGATTAAAGACATCACTGTAAAGGGCAGGACGGATGGATAGAAGCATTAGCATCCCTGCAGGGGGCTCAGGAGCGCAGAGGAGAGAGGAGCACGTACCTCTCCGTGGGGCGTGCAGTACGTCTCGGGCTTGGTGAGGCCGCAGGTGGAAGAGGCTCGGAGGTGCTGGACTCGTCCCAGCAGGAGGTCCGCCCTGGGGGGGTAGCAGGCACCTCGGGAGCAGTCGTGCTGCGCGCCCAGCAGCCGCAGGGAGGCTGGAACAGCAGGAGAGGACTTGGGGCTACGGCAGGGTGGCACACAGGGATCAGCCAGCAACCCTGCCGCTTCCCACAGCAGGTCAGCTACCAGGTCGTGCGTGGGGCAAAGCCACAAATGCACATGCCAGAAAGGACGAGGGTATTTTACCCCAAATTGCCTTTGTTTTAAATAATACAAAGCACTTAGAACACCTTCTGTTAGCTGTTACTTCTGAAACTCTGCCTTGACATGGCACCTACCCAAAATCCCCAGTGTTTGGGTTTCAGGGATGCTCGGTTCCCTGCCCATTGTGCTGAACAGCCTGGGCTGGTTTTCCCCATTTACCTCCAGACCCCTAGAGCAGGGTGCTTGGGTCAGACAGAAGCCTTTTGCCAAAGGACCAGCTCTGTTACTGAACACCAATCTCCCAGTTGCTGCCACAATATTGCTACCAATACAACGCTTACTCTAGCAGCATTTATTAGCCTCATATACTTCCTATTATTCACTTCTCATCAATAAACTTAATTTTCCAATTCCCTTTGCAAGAAATTTAGCTGTATATAAACCCACCTCGCTTAAATCATGGTACACATGGAGGCTCTAGGCAATGTAACTCACTGCATTACTCATGTACAACCCCAATTAAAAGAGAAAGGTCATTTCCAATAGGCAGTAAGCATTTAGTCAGCTTTCCCTCATCTTTCTAGAAACACTGCATGGCAAGCCTTACCCAGCAGGACAAATAATGCCCATGGCCAAAGCTGGCAGCGAGACTCCATACTGGCAAGGACGAGGACACACCTAAGGAGGAATATGCAGCATAAGCAAAAACAAGTAGAAAATGTCAGCTTAAAGCTCTGCCTGGGTCCTTCACATTCCTTATTTTTCTATGGTGAGGTAATTTTAATTGGTGGACAACACAGCAGCATGGGTGATAATCAGGAATAGCAGAGAATGATCAGCCCCTCAGACCGTGCAGCAAAACAAACCCACGCAAAGGATCCCGGCTTCTCTTCGGACTCAGGAAGCACACCCAGGATCCTCCCCAGCTGTGCAAAGACAGCCCTCTCACCCAGACACTATCTTTGGATCTTCATGGTATTGCAGAGGTGAACGAGCACTGCCCCTCACCCTCGGCAGAGCTGATTTCTGCCCGCCCGGCTCCTGGGGACCTCAAGGAGCTGCAGACACAGCACAGCCACCGCAGCAGGCAGGGAGCGGTGCCAGCACCAGCAGGGACGATACGGTGATGAGCCCGGCCATCGCCCTGCCCCGTGCTTTGTCCTCCAGCCCCACCCTTGTTGCACTTCCAGATCAAAGCGCCCGATGGCCAGGAGCCTTGGTCTTGCAGAAATGCTGCAGTGAAGTGCATGCCGCAGGGTTTCTGTAGAGAGCCCTGCAGGACAGCATGTGGGAGCAGCCACCAGCACGCTCCTGCATTGAGAAGTTTCCCCTGCCACCAGGAGCCCCGTTCCCAGTCCCCACGACGTCCCCAGTCCCAGTGGTGTCCCCACATACCTGGCTGCCAGCAAGGGCTCTCCCCAGCTCTACCTGCGGCTGATCCGCAATCGCAGCAGCCTCTGAGCGCTGCCTCCGTCCTCCCTCGGTTTTTAACAGATGGCTGCCTCACCTGGGAGAGAGGTGCCTGTGGGTGTAGTAACGATAAAGGCGTGATTCAGGCGTCTGCAGGCATCCCCACCCATTTCCCGGGGAGCTCCGGACAGCTCCCAGACAGGGCGCACCGCCGCAGACAGCTGTCACTTGGGACGGGGGTGACGGCAGCGTGAACAAGCGGCTGCACAGGTATCCAGCAGCGAGCACCTTGGGACACATCCCTGTAGCCACAGGACATGTCTGAGGTGTGCCTGGGGCTCAGGTGGGCACTGCCAGGACACCACCAAGCTGCCTGAAACCCGCTCACACCAGTGCCAGGGCTGCGAGGCGCCCACCCTCTCGGGCAGGTTTTGTGGGTTTGTGTAGTGGGCTCAGCCCCGCAGCGACAGGGCAGCGCCGCTATCAGTGCCCGAGTCTGGCAATGTAATGCCCGATCGGGGATGTCTGTGTGAGTTACAACTGCATCGTGTATTCACATAGCAGGCTTCAGCCTGCAGCCGACCTTGAGCACAGAGACGGGGCTGTACAGGGCTCACAGACCCTCTCCTGCCTCCGGCAGCAGAGTTCCTCAAGGCACAAACCAATTCTCAAACTCAGCTTACGTTATCTACAGAATGTAATACCATAAACTAACCAGCTATGAAAAAAGTCAAAGAAGTCAAATTTTCTAAGAAACAATTTTCATTTGGGTACCTAGAAAAGTGCCAGGATTTCCACAGGCACTCTGTATTTATCAAACCAGGATGGTTTCAATACCACCTTGGGAACCCGTGGAAAAGCCAGACCCATAGCTTCATACCCAGCTGATGACAGCAGCCGGTCTCCCTGCTTCAGACCTCACTCAGACCTCTCTTATGCTTTACACCTCAGTGGTCACTGCTGCTTTACATCAGAATTATTTGAAAAAATCTCATAAGTTTATTATTTTACTATGCCAGCAACAAGTATGAGGTAGCACGAGAGGCTTTTTCTTGCCCCGTTTTTTTCATTTCTCTCTCTCTCTTTTTTTTTTTTTTTTTCTCCCCAGTTTCTATTCTAACATCTGTTTAAACTGGCAGCTGTTCCATGTGTGCACTGGGGAGCAGAGCCCAGCAGCTCGCTGAACCCCCAGTGCTCCCAGGCACCGCTCACAGGCTGCGCTACAGCTGGAGCCAGAGGTGGAGAGCTCTGCATTTACCTTGCCAAATCCCCCAAACCATGCAGAACCCCCCCCCCCCAGACTATCATTCTATCAAACTGTTTTTATGGTCTAAGCCAATACTCAGAAAAAAAACAACTCGCACTGAGTCTTTGCTATTTACTTTACTGACTCAACCCCAACATCACATCCTGCCCTGCTGCCGGGGGCTCAGCTGATCGCGCCGGACAACTCCGGGTCCGTGCGCCTGTGCCTGTGCCATGGGTGCTACCTACCTCCCCGTCCTCACCGAGCAGCACGGGCACTGAGGCTCAGGAGCTCAGAGAAAGCTGGAAAAAAATCCTGTCCCTAAGGCTACAAAATGTGAAGCGTTGGTTCCGCATCCGCCTCTGCCTAGGTGTGCCCGCGGCCTTGGTGAGCAGGGAGCAGGGCTGGGCGTGCCGGCCCTGAGCCACCGCTCAGCAATGCGGTAACGCCGCATTCCTGCGCCTGCTGCGAAGATGCCTCCTCCTGTAAGATGCCTCCTCCTGTCTTGGCTGGCTGAGCAGGGGAAGCGGAAAGAAACACTGGATTGATTTTCAGTGAAAGAGAGAGGAAATGCACAGCCAGCTCAGGTACCTCCCTGCGCACCGCACGGCGGGCAAGGCTGCGGGTGATGGACACAGCAATCCTGTGAGCCTTGGTTGAATGAATGCCTGCAGCTGGGTGCCTGTTTGGTCTGGTGTAAAGTCAAACCCATGAGCACTAAGCCAATCAGGTCAGTTTGACGCTCATTCCTTCAGAAACTGCACTGCTGACGCTGGGGAGGACCAGCCGCCCTCCGACCCATCCGAGCTGTCCCATCTGCATGCAGGCTGTGGCTGAGCCATTCACTTCATCTTCCAACCAGTTCCCTCCAAACTTTCCTCCCCCAGGTAAATCAGGCCCAGCAGAAGCAGAACAGAGGCACCGCATGGTGACACCTCTTGGGAAGCCCACCAACGCTGCAGACCGGCCGTGCGAGAGCCAGCAGTGCTGAGCTCCAGGCTGCTCCGAAATGTTGAAACTCCAGCCCAGGTTACTGCAAAGCACGGGCTGCTGCGATTCACCCATGCAATCAAAGGTAGGCCTGGAAAATGCTACCTTAAACACAAGCTTCTCAAATGAGCTATCCAAACCACCTTCAGCCAGCCTTTGCTCCTCCAGGCTGTCCCAGAGGCTTGCCAAAACAAGGTGAGCATTCCAGGCTCTGCAAGTTCAAACAAGAACAAGAGTGGGAACAGCCTCCGTTACGGAATACCTCCTGCAAAGCAGTAAGTCACACACAAAAAAGAGGAGGAAAAAAAAAAAAAAAAAGCCATTGCTGGAAGCATCTCCTCCAGATGAGATGCACCACACGGAGCCGCTGCCGCCTCGTGCTCAGTGCTCAGTGACATTCCTGTGGACAGGATCATTTCAGCTCCTGCTCTGTGGTGGGTGTGTGTGATCAGCCTTGCAGCTTGTGTATCCTACCCCTGAGGTGCTCATCAGAGGCAGAAAAGCCCCACTGGATGCGATCCTATACCCATGGCATGGGCTGGCATCAGCAGATCCTAGTGCCAGCAATGGTCTGAAGGGGACACACGACAGAGGACCCTGTCCCTTCCAGAACAGCAGCAACCAAGAGAGATGCTGCTGGGTTGGGTTTAAATTTCAGGTGGAAAGAGGCCACAACATTTAGAACAGAAACACATCGCAGCCAGTAGTTTAAAAGCTCACCTTCCTGTGAGGGTGAGCAGAGCAGCCCATGCACATTGCTCAGCGTCACAAGCTCGCACTTAACACACCAAGCCCCTGCTTTTAAAATTAAGGTCCCCAGCTTGACAGGCAGCCAGGGCTCAGCACCACGTGCCCTCAGGTCACCGGGCTCTGAACTGGGTGCCGAGGCGGGATGAGTGGGATGAGTAGGATGAGCCACGGCACGAGGGAGGCACCTCAGGCAAATACTCCCCAGGTGCTGTGCCCGTGAACCCGGCAGCCAGAGCTGAAAAGGATGTGAGTCGTGTGTGAGTAGCTTTGTTTTGTTTCCTCCCTCCTATGTTTGCTGTCTGTTGGAGTTACGGCACATAAGTGCCTTAGTATGTCGGGAGCTTTTCCAGGGATGCCATCCGAATTCAACAGCTTTCCATCCAGTTGTTGAGGCGTGACACCCGTTAGCAAGCACTGACCAGCCCTGAATGGCTGTCTTCAGTCACTTTAAGTCTCTGCTGAGCTCAGAGGAACACAAAAGTAACTGGAAATCAGGGGCAGAGCACTGCTTGCAAGGACACTTAATCTCTTGAAACATAAAACCTCCATTACAGGAAAAAGGACACTAACTGGGGATAACTCTGTAGCACTGGAGCTACACAAGAAGAAGAAAATTAGGGAAAGTCTGTTCAGGGGTAAGAAACACTGCCAGTGTCACAGCTTTTGGGCAGCTGTCTCCGCTGACTTGAGTAACAAAATGATGTTTCCTCCACAGAATCTTTTCATTTCCCATTTTAATTAAACCTGGCCAGCAAACCACCTCCTCACTACGGCACATGCAGATGAGCTAAAACACCACCTTTGCTAATTGTCATCTTCTAAAAGCAATTCAGGAACTTCTAACGCAATTCCAGCTCATCTCCTGAAACCCCTCCACCTGCTTTGAAAACAAATAAAACTTTGAACTGAAGAATCGTTGACCTAGTTTAGGTCTAAATGGGGTTACCCCAGGGGCTTGCTGCAGGGCGCAGTGCCCTCAGGCCCGGCCTGCGGCCTACTGCCCCTCCACGCTCCTGCTCTGCGGCCTGGGCAGCCTGCCTGCTTTCCACTGGCAGATTTGACACAATTATCATTGCAGGGGAGCATCTTTATTTTTGTCATGTCCCCATTGTCTAAAGGAGAAAACATCTTGTTAGGACAGCAGGCAGCTGTAGGTGGATGATTTTTAGGCGGCTTTTTCAGGCCGTGGCAAGGGAGCAGGGAGAGGGTTCCTATGCTCCCACCCCTGCTGGCCGGCAGGGACCCTCGGCACAGCCCCGCATCCACCACAATCAACAGCAGGAGGGTTAAAATAATTTGATGGAGAGCCATCACACACCCCAGCCTCCCTGCTGCTGGTATTTAGGTTAAACCTCAGGTGCTTATGCTGCTTTGTGAATTCAGGCAGAGCTCTTCTTCCAGATGACGTTAAACTCTTGTCATTTTCCCGGCTATAATGCCTGGCTTAATCAAAATTGCAATTAAGCCTGACAACCTCCTTGTGTGGACTCTCCTAAATAAGATTAGGAACAGCTAAAATTAGTCTAATTTAATGTTAATCATTAATCCTTTTATCCATTCTTAATCCAATTTAAATGTCCACACGAGTCTGCACAGACTTTGTTACTCCAGTTTAAAACAAAACTGAATTAAATATTATTTAGTTAAATCAACACAACTTGAGTGCTGCCATAGGAGGCGTTTGCCACTGAGGAGTATCGGCTGCTTGGGTAACCCTCAACATTATCCCGAGCACTGCATGCTCCCTGCAGCTCCAGCTCTTAGTATGCTGTGCTTGCAGACATCTCCATCTATATTTTATGAATACAAAGTTCCTTTTCTAGCCCCCTGGTTGGAAAAGAGGCTTTCAAGTAAAAGGTTCAGGAGGCAAAGAAAATCTTGCTTCATTTTTTATTTTATTTTTAGGGCAAAATGTCCTGATTCAAGCACTTCACGCTGACCTTTGTTTCTGGGATTACACCCTGCACAGCTCGGCGCTTTCTGGTGTTTGTGCAGGGCCCAAGTAGCTTGCAGCACTCACCACTTGCCCAGGCTGGAAGGGGAGACCACACTGTGGCAGCCAGCCCTGGCTGCAGAAACCATGACCTTGAACTTTCCCTGTTTAATTGCTGTCTCCCCCAGCTATCTTTTCTGCAACGTTCATTTTTCAAGGCACTGCAGAAGGGAAAAATGTGGCTTAAATATAAGAATTGGCCGCAACCTTTGCTGCCAAGTTGGCAGAAAAGATAAGGATTTTATTTTAAGAAACAAAAAAGACACTAAGGAGGAACAGACAAATCTTTAGCAACTTTTACAGCCAGTCTTGCAATACAATTTCCTAAGTGCATTCAAAACTTGCAAAAAGAAAAAAACACCCCCAAGTTTTCCCTGCCAGAGGTTCCTTGGAGCCTTGCTTGCAGCACAAGCTCTCCCACCCCATGTGACTGTGGGGAAACTTTCAGCCTCCCCACTACGTGCGGGATGTGAGGAGCAGGAGGTGAGTCACTCGCTCTCATGTGCCCAGGGAAGAGCTCAGCAAGGAAGAAAAAAAAAAAAAGCCAACACATTTAATGAACACTTTCCTTTGTGAGGATCTCAGGCATTTGCCTCCCACCACTGCTGATCCTCACATGGCCAGTGAGTCGTGCACCCAGGTGTGCCAGGAGAGAAGGGGAGGAAAACAGCACAACTGCAAACAGCAGCTTGGCACTGCTGTCCTGACACCAGCCAGACTTTAGGTTCAGTGATTTTAGGACCCAGTCCAGTGATTTTAGGGCATAATTTGGGCAATATCGCCTCTTAGAGCAGTTTTTCAGAAGGGAAGGTGTTTAGAACCTCAAAGGAAAGGAAAGAAGAAACGTGGATAACCGACACGAGCTCAAGCAATTCCCAATTTTCTCGAAGTTCTTCTCTCTGTGCCTCTTCCCCCCCCCCAAAGAGACGAAGCCAATGCTGGCTCCCAGGCTGTGTCCTACCCACTCGGGGTACAGGGGCAGGGGGATGCCAGAGGGATCCTTCCCAGGAAGGCAATGCTAAAAGCCACCTAAGGGGCATCAAGCCCCCACTCCCTGCACCACCATTGCTCCTTCCATGTGCTGTGAGGAGGCAGGCAGAAACCCCCCCCCAGTTTCCCCTGCTGCTTGGAGGATGAGCCCTGCTTTGGTCCCTGCGGGGCTGAGCCTCACCAGGGCTCATGGCCGCCTGGCCACCCCAAAGGAGATCAAGGGGAGCCAGCAGTCTCCTTCACAGCATTGTTCACCAAGGCTCCTTCTGGGCTTTACCTCTCTCCACAGACACCCCCAGCCCCTGCGCATCAGCTTGCACCACATGTATTTACACAGGCTGCCCCAGCAGAGCAACCCGCCAGCATCTCAGCCATACTGATCGGGTGGGAAGCCTGTCCAGACCCTACTAATTCAGAAGCTGTTGGTCCCAGCTGCTCCTCGTGGCCTTAGCTAAGGTGAGCAGCAGCTGAGGGGTACGCAGCTCTCCTGGCCGGAGCAGCATACGTGCGCTGATGGAGCCGGCAGCAGAGGGGCAGCGGCGCAGATGATGCAATGCGCTGTGTGCTATTGATGCAACGCTCTTGGGCAGCGAGCCAGCGAAGAAGTGTGACAGCGCTGAGTTCTTTACTCCCCAAAAAGGAAATACGCTGTCCTTTTCGTGAATCATAAGGGAGTTAAGATTACAATGGGCTATTACGGAGTTTCAGCATCAAACACAGGGAAGTGACAATGCGATCTAACAGGCAGCCTGGAGCTTTCCCGGTGGGGGTCACTTCCAGTTACTCTGCTCCCCAGCAAACCACGGTGCTGTCCCACGCGGCATCCAGCAGCTTTCTGCCGCTTCCCTTTGCCACCAGCCGTGCAAGAAGCCTTTAACAAACACCCTCACACCGCAACACCTCCCTTGTGCCTCACCATATTTCACCTACCTCACCGTGCGAGCGGGCAGCGTGAGGTTTTGCTCACCCCACCGGCTGAGAGAAGCCCAGCCCCGAGCCCCCCACCCCAGCACCCCACTTGTGAGCTGCCCACGCTCCCTGTCCCCTCGCACCCCCCCCGCAGCACGGCTCCCAGCGGCTGCCCGGAGCTCGGGCTCGGGCCAACCCCGCTGCCAAGCGGCCCCGGGGGGCTGTCGGGGGCTGGCCCCAGTCCTGCGGGCAGCCGGGGGGGCGCACCGGGTCACCCGTGCTAGCGGCGTGCTCGCGGCGTGCCCGGCCCCCCCCCGCTTCAGCCCCGCCTGCCCCAGCGGCGATATAAGGCGGGGGCAGCGGGCGGCCGGCAGCAGCTGCAGAGCCGAGCAGCGGCCGGACCAGCAGAGCCCAGACCAGCAGAGCTCAGCAGAGCCGAGCCAGCCCGCAGCGCTCACAGCCCCTGCCCCGACCCCGCAGCAGCCGCCTCTGGTAAGGGGGAAGCCCGGGGAGATGCGGGGGGGACGCTGCGGGACCCCCCCTCCCTTCCCTTGCCGCAGCCACGAGCATCTGCTGAGCCGCGGGGCTCCTCCGCCGGCTGCGTTCTCCTCTAGCTGAAATTAAAATTCCCTGTGTATGTGTGGCCGGGGGTGGCTGCGGGGAGCGGGGGCCAAGGGGAGTGCTCTGACACTGCTGGAGAAAGCTGCTGGATTTAACTAACATGCCTCTCCCTTGCTCTTCCCCTGTAGAACTGACATCTTCCAAACCTGCTGCAAAAAATAAAATAAAAATGGAAACCATGCATGAGCTGATCCCCTTTGCCAAAGAACTGCTCAGCCAGAAGCCCAACAGGAAAATGGTCAAGCTGTACATGCTGGGCAGCGTGCTGGCCTTCTTCGGTGTGGTCATCGGTCTGGTGGAGGCAGTGTGCAGTCCTTTCACCTCCGAAGGGAGGCTAGAGGAGGAGGAGAAGAAACCTGCCCCGACACGAGGGCAAACACTTCCTCAGAAACAGGAGGATTTGATCTTGGAAAAGAGCAAGAAGCCGGTGGTGATGCAGCGGGCCCTGGTGACCAGGCAGCACGCCTCCTAAGAGCCCCACAGCCCAAGAAGTGTCTGCTGAGCAACCAAGCACAAGAGACTCTGCTGTCCTGTTGTACCTGGTGGTGGTTCCAGCAAGAAGAGCGAAGGTTTGGCTGAACGAGGAAGACCGCAAGTGCAAGACTTGAAAGAAACGAACGGTTATAATTTGCTGCTGTGCAGCAGTAGGAAAAAATACCTTTTGTTGGTATAAAAATGTGCAAGACGCACAGCATGGTTTCTTATTTTTATTACAGATGCATTTTACAACATTTTGCAAAATCAATAAATATTTTATATGGTACCAATGCTCTCTAGCTGCATTCATTTCAAACTCTCACGGATTTGCAAATGGGTTTCACTTGCAACTCTTCAGAAGCCTCTTGCCCCCCTCGCTGAACAGCAGTGGGCAGTGACCAGACCTGCTCCATGGAGCTCCCTCCCTTGGTGTGGCTGCTCTGGGGTGAAGGGGTCGGTGTTTTGCAACTCCAGCTGCTGCTTCCTTCCAAAAATGGGTCAGCAGGGGTGGGGAGGAGGTGGCCTTGTGTGACAGACACATTCCTGAAGTTAGAGGTGGGTGTTGCACCTTCCTGGGGTTATCTGAGTTTGATGGCACAGATTCCTGTCTCTGCCATGAGAGCTCTTACTGGGCTCCTTCACAAGCCTGCCACTGACACCCGATTGCAGAAAATAATATTAGCTGCCACTATGACAGGCATGTCACAGCTCGAATAGCTGCAGCACTGGCAGACATAATGGCACAGTCAGCCTGAAGCAGGTGGAAACAGGGACCTGAGCCTCAGGGCTGCACCCAGAGCACTGCCAGCATCATTAGAGGACTTCCACCTGTTTAAAATCTTTCCTGGGCTTAGTTCTGAACATGACAGATTCTCACTATGTCATGTAAATTAAACTCTCCAGACAGCTACAGCTGAAAGATCCTAACCATGCTACAAAACAGAGGGAAGAGAAACAATCCCTGGCAGTCAGAAGTGGGGGAGAAAATTCCTCTTTATTGGTTCAATGGCAAAGGCAGAGCTGGTGGGACAGGGACAGGGACACGCCACACACCCTGCCCAGAATCTGGGAGACAAACCCGCCAGTACCGGGCTAAAAGCAAAACAATTGTTACCAACAGCACGAGGTTATGGAAAATGAAGCAGCGCTGCCTGACACCAATGCCAAGTATAGAGCTCCTCCTAGAGCTGCACAAGTTAGGGTCAGAATCCAAAAACCTAAGAGCATAGCTGAAGTTCCCTTAATTTCATACATTTTTCATAATACATAACCATGGAAATCGTTTTGCTGATAAATATTTCAGTCAAAACAAACGAACACAAACAACAGCAGCTCTTTGTGGAGGAGAAATCCCACTAAGCCCATGCAGTAACTCTTTTTGGGCTTTGAACCAAGTGTAAGGTACCTTTCCCTCAAGGGGAAAAAAGAGCAGAGTAATTTAAAACGTCCTTTGATAATGATTTGATTTAGGCCTTAACTAAGCACTTTAGTCTCTGGCAAGGCCGAACAACCCAACACCTCATTGACACCGAGGGACATGTCAAGGCAAACAGGAACAGAGAGCTGAGGCTGAGCGCCCCGGCTCGGAGCCAGGCTGAGCGGAGCTGAGGCCCTGCCCTGCGTGACAAACCAGGGACCTGAATAAATGCCTGCGGCTGTGTCAGGCATGGCAGTGCTGCCAGGTCTCAGTTCTCACACATTTCTGTAACGCAGAAACGTCTTTGCTGTGGCAAGCAGAGCTAATAAAATGGATCAGACTGAGATGAGAATCGCTTCTTTGTCCCACTCAGCTGCAAGATCTGACAATCACACGCTGATCAGCCCTTCCCAGTGAGGTACAGGCCTCTCAACCTGCCCTCAAGGAAAGGGCGAATTTAAGAAATGGGGTTACAGGGGCCCAGCTTGCAAGGCCAGTGGTGTTGAGGACGCTCAGGGTGAGCCCACCCACTGGCCCCAGGCGGTGTGGTCACGCCATGTACACGGCCTGCTGCGTTGTGCCAGCATCCTGCTGCCCTCGCCTCCTCTCCGCCATTATCCAGTCACAGGGTTTATGAGCTTAAAGCAAAGAGGTTTGTGGAACAATCAAAATAGCTCCTCCTAAGACAGCTAATGGGATTAGACTGCTAAACCGCTGCGCCGTGCCGGTGGTTCTGGAGCCAACTCGGTAAAGCCATGCCTTGCTGAAGGCGATCTCCTGCCTCCTGACGTCCTGCGAGGGCCGAGGCCATTGCCCGGCACACGTTGCCCGATGGGCCAATCTGCGGGGTCAAGCCTGTGCGTTACCACTTCCACAACAGCTTGCCTCAGATTTCAGACAGGACTGCCTCTTGGCAGGGCAGCTGATTAGATGCAATGGCTGATTTTACCACAGTGACCACAAAAAGGCCCATCTACGCCACACAGTGACAAACTCCATGCACGCATGAGATTAGTAATCCATTTGACATCACTTTAACTATGATGAATGGCAGGCTTGCCAAATGGAGTTGATTAAAATGCTTCAGCAGAATTCCTGGTCTTTAAACCACAGCAAACGTCTCCAAACCAGCCTGCTGCCCAGCCCCATCTCCCAAGCCCCTGAACCCTCCCAACCCAATGCTGACAACAGACAAACGGCACAAAACCCTCCTGATAACACCTGCCAAAACCACGTGCAATTGGCAAAATCCATCCATGCATCCTGGCAGTGAAGCACAGCAGAGCTGCTCCAAAAGCTCAGCTGTGAATTGCTGAGGGAAATTGCAATCATAAAAGCTGGGATAAACCAGGGAGCAACCAGGTGGGATATGTAAGCTGTACAGTCAGTGCTAGTGAGGACTTCTGAGGTGAGCCACAGCACAGAAATATGTGGAGCATTTAAGACCGAGTTAAACCAAAGTACTGAGGGATAAGCTCTTGAGGAGAGCCACACGTTGCCTAAGGTGTGCAGCATGTTGCTGAAGACACCTGAGGTTGATTTCTGTTTTTCTGTTTCTTTTAGGAATCGTCTGAATGCAGTTTACTCCAACCTGTAAATATGTAGATTTCCTGGTGCGCTAAATCCTAAGGAAAATTGCAGCTGGCATAAGAACTGATACATATTTGTCCCTGTCCTCCCTGCAGCACATCTTCAGAGATCTGGTGTCGGCTTTGAGTCATTGCCCAGGCCTTCAATAACATGAGTACCAAAAACGCAGATGCCCTCCCACCCAAGCCAATCGCTTCAAGGACATGAGCTGAATGCCTTCAGAGTCCTAGCTTGCTATTCGTAGGCAATGGATGTTTCAAAAGATGCCAGGCTAAATTTAGGGGGCCAGATAAGCATATCAGCCTCTCCCACCCAACACCAAGGGCATTGGGAACATGGAGACTGGCCAAGACCCGATGCAGCCACAGCCACGGTACCAACAATAACATATCAAGGCAGCAATTCCTGATTTGGTCACACAGGAAAAAATAAATGTAGTGCTTAGGAATGGCTTAAACATCACAGTATTTTCCCTAAACTGGTAGTGAGTGCAAATACCCTGTCAAACCCAGCTCTGCCCTACAATCATGGCACGCCTCCCTCGGGAGCCAAGAGCACATTTCTCAGGAGCGGTGCCGCGGCAGCGACAGCAGTTGCAGGACGGGGGCATTGCCCGCACGCTGTGCCCAGGAGGCTCCACGAGGCTGCCTGCACCGTGCCAAGACACACACCGACCTGCTGCAGCACGACAGCATCACGTCACCCTGCGCACAGCCCCAGCGTGAGCATAACCGAGGGTAACCCTCTGTAACGGCGATATCCCTGTTGTAAGGAAAGGCAGTAGACCTGCACTCATGATAAAGTACTGGGAGAGCCAGGTGTGAGAAATAATGTTTTAACATCTACACGATAAAGGGAAGCAAGGGGGGAAGAGAAGGAAAATTATCTGCAATTAACAAAGATTTGATAATGGGTTAAAAACAGTCAAATATCACTCAAAAGAGAAAAAAAAAAAAGTGGTATTCCAATCTCTGCCAAGTGTTTTTGAGTTCCTGAGCTGCATGCACGAGCCTGCCTAACCCCCAGCCCTGCCCCCAAAATTCTCCTTCCCCGCTGCGCCTCGCTGCTGTGCGTGGCAGGGACCCTCCAGCAGCTGCCCTTTGCTGCTCTGCCAGTTTTTGTCAGAACAAGCTTCTTCGTGCCTTCATTTCCTCCAAGTGAGCTCCAGGCAGCACTAAGTGGAGAACCTCCCGTGTGCAGAGCAGTTAGCACAGCGCTAAGCACTGCACTGTGGAAAACACGGCTGCAAACAGGTGAGCGATGCCGAAGCAACCTGCAGCAGGGAGAAAGTGTCCAGGATAATTCTGGTGAATTATTAATTATTATTAGAAACAGGAGGCTGCTTCCCCCTCCACCAGTGCTCCATCTCACCGGGCACACTGCCGGCCTCTGCCTGTAAAACTTGGAAGCTTTGGCAGCAGTGGGGCCAGGACCAGCCTCGTGAGTTGAGTTCAGTCACTTGTATCAGAAAATATTTCTCTGCAGTTGCCACTTCCTGCCCTCCTCTCCCTTTCTGCACTCCCCACCCTCAAGAAGAGGTTAAAAACAAGTTCTTAAGTTGCATAGAGCAAAACAAACCCAGAAAAAGCTTCGAGTGGGAGTGAGGAGCCGCAGCGCCTGGCCGGGTGACAGGCAGTGGGGAAGAAATCCAGGCAGGCAGCAGCAGCGAAACACAGCCCTGGCTGGGGGCTCTGGGACCACCACGGCCCCCCCAGTCCTCCCAGGCCACAACAGCATCCATGCAAACCCCTCCACCCAGGCAACAACCTAATGCCAGAAATAAAAAAGGTCATCTTAAAAGAGCCTCTCTCCTTGCCCACAACACAGGGCTCGGCCGAGGAAGGGCTAACTGGCTCGTTGTTTTCAAGCCAAGGAATGAAATGGCTGCCCCATGATCACGGCTCAAGTTCAAAGCTGCAGGACTCGGGAAAAGGCAGAGTTACCGTACTGCTGTTATCTGACCACAGGCGGGATAAGTGCTTCTTACCAGGGGGTAAGAAGAGACTGAAGTAGAAAGGCATAAATAAGTCTTTAGAGACGTATTATAGCAGGATTAATACCTGAGAGCCCCTCTGCCCTGCTAAGTATGTTATTAAATTAAACCATCTTTATTTTAAAGCTCCGATAGATTAAAAAAATATATCTTTTCTAATTCTTTCTGGTTCTTTATGGTGTAGGAGTCTGTGAGGAATAAAAACCACCTGCATCCAGTGTGTCTGCGTGGATCAGACCCTGCTGCAGCTCTGGCACTGCCAACGAGGCTCTGGCCGTGGTTATCACAGCTTCCCCGGGCCGGGGCAGCACGGGATGGAGCACAGCAGGCTCGGTCTCCATCCCCACCTAGCACCGCAGGTACCAGCACTCCACGAGGCAGATCCTAGCGCCAGACCCACGCTAGAGCATGATTTAATCCTATTACGCAAGATCGCTGACATCAAACCTGCTGCTGCCCGGACACAGCACGACAGCGGACACTACGTGTTTTTTCCTTGGACTACGTTCACTCACAAGTAAGGAGGAAGCTGCGAAGCTCCTGCAATACTCCAGGCGGGAGGGAGCTCAGCAGCAAACCCCGTCTCAGCAAAGCAAAGCCTTTTCTGAGCTGGTGGGTACGGGGACACCCTGCGGGGTCACAGGGCAGCGATGCCCCGGGCAGGGGGTCCCGGTGGCTGCCCCCCCATGGTCAGACCCGCCCGGTCCGGCACCAGTGGGAATAAAAGAGGAGCTTCAGCCACCTGCACTGGGCTGCCTCTGATGTTCTGCGAGTGAAACTTGATGCTGTTCAGCAAAGACACACCTCTTCCAGGGTGTTGTGCGAAATTCTGCATTTTATCGTAGGGACAGGAAATATGAAAAGAGCCGGGCAGAGCTCGGAGCAGCACCGCCGGTTAGGCCGAGGCTCCCCAGCTCCAGTGGGGAGCAGATCAAAGGTTTTGCCTCTCTTAACAACCCCACTGTGATTTTCCAGTGCTTTGGAAGTTGCAATTCCTTCGCAACAGGTTTTGAAGGATTGCCGCTGCTGCTTCCTTCGGGAGCAGCTCTGCAGAGGTTTTATTCCTCCTTTCTCTTTCATGCTCAATTTCCAGGGATGGGTCGGTTACAAAAGATTCTCATTCCTTTTTTGGGACTGGTTTTGGCCTTCTGCTTTTATTCTGCGAGGGAGAATTTCAAACCGGGTAAGTATTAAAAGTAAATCTGTCCGTAAGTAAAATATTAAAAGGCACATCCGAGTGCTTTGCATGGAAACTGTACAGAGCTTGGACCAAGCCAGGTCCAAGCCTTTGTGGCAGGGCTGATAAAGGAGCGTTGTTTTAGCAGAGATTCAAACTCAAATTGAGCAAGTAACATGCAGAAAGAGTTTCTGAGGGAGCAGGTGAGGCAGGGGCTTCTGAAATGGAGAGGGCTTTGAACACTTCACATTCAAGTCTGTAAAAATTTCATAAACATGGCTTTTGAATGTTGGATTTTAAGTTTTGAAGTATGTACTTAGTGGGTGTTTTTTATTGCAAAATAGCTGTGTTTGTTTATAAGTTGTTTTCTGATCCATGAAAAAGCTTCTGAAAGAGCCAAGAACCGTCCCCGTGTTGCTGTGGTCAGTTGGAGCCGCAGCTGCTCCTCGGTGCAGCTCTTCCAGGAGAGGGAGGAGATGGCTCGGTGCAAGACGGAGCACGAGGCTCCGCGTTTGCAGGCAAGCTCGCTCAGCTTGCAATCAACTGCTGCTTGAGGGCATGAGGAGATGTTATTTGCTTTTTAAATAGGGTTTGGATAAATTAAACCCATGTGCCTTGGTCCCCAGAGATGCTGAAGGGGAAACGTGTGATCGTCACTGGAGCAAGCACTGGAATCGGGGAGCAGATGGCGTACCACCTGGCGCGGATGGGAGCCCACGTCCTGGTCACCGCACGGACAGAGGCCAAGCTGCAGAAAGTAAATGGCAAGCTGAGCACTCACACATGCATGCTCATGGCAGTGCACACACAAACGAAGGCAGGCCAATCTCACATCACAGGTACACACATAAATACATGTGCATGCAACTGCCCCGGCACAAACGCCAGATGTGCACGGGTCTGTTCACGGGTATGCAAACTTACAGTCTCTGGGGCTCCTGCACGCTCAGAAATCACTTTCCTGCAGGCACGCGCTCTGCACGGCACGTACTGCACTATTTGAACTTGCTTGGTTATGTACACATCTCCCCATATGCACAGGCTCCATCGGCACACACGCCCTCATTCCACTGCAGTGAAATATCAGCTCCTGCTCGCTCTGCACACACGCGGCTCCAACACAGACCGTGCCGATAAAGAGCCGCCTTGGGTCACACGTTCCCTAAAGGAATCATTTCTCAGGCTCCCTTTGAAGCTCAGAGGCTCCAAACACCCCCCACCCCAGAAGCCCCGCACTGCAGTTTTGGGGAAGGGGCACGTTTCGGGGAGCAAGGCAGCACCCAGACCCCGGTGCGGGTGGTCTCTGACGCACCGTGTTGCCGTCGCAGGTGGTGGAGCGGTGCCAGGAGCTGGGGGCCAGCTCAGCGCGGCTCATCAGCGGCAGCATGGAGGACATGGCCTTTGCCAAGCAGGTGGTGGAGGCGGCCGAGGCCGAACTGGGTACGTCTGCAGCCTGCTCCCCGCCAGCCAGCGGCAGGTTAGAGATGCTGGAGCTCTCCAGCATGCTTTTTGTCGTGTGCCCACTAAGAAAAAATCGGTACCTGCGAAGAAAAACGCAGGAGAAATGGGGGTGGGGAGAGGTTTGCCCTAATTCTGCCCCCTGCAGCCCAGCGCTGCCCCTCTGCCCAGCCTGCACCGCTCCAGCGCAGGCTGAACTGCGCTCTCAATTTCATCTCGGTGCCCTCGTAACATCCTGTCCCAGTCTCACAATCCTGGATTTCATCACTGCAGGCTATTGTGGGCTAAAACCACCCGTCAGGCCCGCTACTCTGGTCATGGGTCATCACTGCGGAAATGCAATGTTTCAGCTTGGTGCAGAGCTCTCCCTCTCCCAACAGGAGTCCACTGACAACTCGAGAGCAGTCTCCCTTGTGCCATATTATTCGTGTTTCAACCAGGGGAAAAAAAGCCACACCGTCTCTCTTGCCTAGGACAAGTCAGATAAGCCCAGCACATTTCTGCTGGCAGCCACCACCCAAACCGTCCCAGCTCTGGAGATGGCAAGCCACAGCTCTGACCCAAAAAACTGACCCCAAAAGACTCTGACCCCCCGTTTTTTTGCCTGCATTGATTCTGCTGCCAGGAAAGGCTCCGTCCTGCCCATGGCAGCCCTCTCCCACCACACACTAACGCCTGCTCCTCTGCTTTCAGGGGGCCTTGACATGCTGATTCTGAATCACATCGGCAAGTCGTACTTCAGTTACTTCGATGGGGATGTCCGGCACATCCAGAAGCTCCTGGACATCAACTTCCTCAGCTATGTGGCCATGACGGTCTCTGCCCTGCCCATGCTGAAGCAGAGCTGGGGGCAGCATCGTAGTGGTCTCATCCATGGCAGGTGAGTGGGAGCAGGGTGGGGGACACGGGACTGCCATAAAACACTGCGGGCTGGTTTTCGTGAGTAGGAAGCACACAGAGATACCAGGTATCTCAAAGGAGCCAGGACTGCTTAACACACTCTAACCAAAAACAGCAGGTCTTTTTCACATGTTCTCAGTGGAATTTGTTCTCTGATGCAATCTGATTGCCCCCAGCTTGCTTTCGGACTGGCCCTGTAATTAAACCCCACGCCCTGGTGCTGGGCTCATTAGCACAGCTGAGCTTGTATAGCTCCAGTTTTGTGAAGAAAAGTGGAAATGTAATCATTTCATGCTGCATTGGTCCTCTGACTATAGGTCAAGTGCTTGACCTACCAAATATTCTTCTCTGCAAATATTTGTAGAGTCAGTTATTGACTGACCTAATAAACTTCTAAGTCAGGGGACTAAATTAATAACAGCTGTCCCCACTCACAGCTGGCCTGTTGGTTGGTCTTCTGGTGATCAGCTTAGCTCAGTATCCAGAGACAAGAGATTAAACTTTGCTCTGTCTCTCCCCTCTGAGGGTTTCGTAGCTGCTGCCTGCTGCTCATAGCCTGAGCGGAGACGTGAGACAGGCTGTTGGACTTACAGCCATAAAAGAGCTGGACCCTGAGGGGAATGCTTTGTAGTCCTGCTGTTGGTGCCAGGATGATGTTTCCCTAACAGCAAACTCCCTTTGGGTAAAATACTTTATCTGATGAAGTGCAAAACAGAGGCTTACGTGGCCCAGCTTTCCGTGCTTTAATGGAACTTCTCTCTGTGTCTAGGTAAAGTTGGGTTTCCCTTTACCGTCCCCTACTCTGCAACTAAGTTTGCCCTGGATGGATTTTTCAGCTCCTTGAGGCAGGAATTCAGCATCCAGAATGTAAACGTTTCCATCACGCTCTGCATCCTCAGCTTCATTGATACTGGTAAGATCCGCACTGCTTGGCCTGGCTGAGCAGGAACCGAGTGTGGCATTTTCAGCTCCTTACCCTCCCTGCACATCTGGTGCTGCTTTTCCTCTGGCCCTGCCATAGCCCAAGTGCATGCAAAATAACCTCTGGTCCCTGCAGGCTCCTACCTCTCTGCCACCAAAAAAACACTCTCAAAACTAATTTAATTCCCCGCACTATATAAAATCAGCCACTGCACAGAGGCTGGCACAGCCTAAAATTCAAATTTAAATGGATGTGCCAGCCACGTACCTCCCCTTAGTCTCATCTAGTGATGCAACAACCAGCTACAGCCATGTGAGCACATGCTGAGAACGGCTTGAAAATCTCTGCGTGTGTTGGACCACAGGAGGAATGTTGTCTCATGAGGTTGCCTCTGTTTTCAAGTGCATACTGATATGCACAGTTTTAGTAAATCCTTCCCAAGTTCCGCTACCTCCATTCACGTTAATTAAATGCGACGGCCTTCCTCAGCCCCTCGCTTTGCTCCTCACAAGGCAAACTTTGGGGAGAGGATGAGTGGAGGGCAGCCCGAGCCTGACCGAAGCTCCCCTTGTTTCCCGGCCAGAGAGCGCCGTGCGCGCTGCTGCCGACGTGGTCCAGATGTCCCCGGCCCCCAAAGAGGAGTGCGCCCTGGAAATCATCAAGGGGGGTGCCCTGCGCCAGCGGGAGGTGTACTACAAATACGCCTTGACCAAAATCCCCCTCCTGCTGCGGGACTGGGCCGCGGAGCTGCTGGACTACCTGATCCGGCAGCACTACCGTGTGGAGCGCCCACCGGCCGCCTGAGCGCCTGCTTGCTGGTGCCTCACTCATCCCGGTCAGAGATCTGAGCCTGGGCTTTAAAAGGTTCTTCAGTTATCTGTCAGGTAATCGCATCGCCCAGAGGGCCCAGCTGGGACAACCCCGCGCTGTGGTACGGGATGTGGCAGCGGGGAAGTGCCCGCGCCTGCAGCATCCCACCCGGTTAGACCCATTCCCTTCCCCTAGACTTGGGAAAAGTAGTAACAAACTAATTATTAAATAAAACTTAATAGCTTTACTGTGGTGTGTTCTGTGTTTGTTTTTTATCCCCTCTTTCTCCGTTACTAAATGCTGTTGTAAATAGGCATAATTCCATTGACTCGCCGTTCTCAGAAAATTGACCCTTTGCAGTAATCCTTCATTGTTTCATTTCAGGAATAACAGTCTCTAGCCTATTTTTTGTTTAGCTTAACGACCAAATTAAATGCAAATCTGTTCACCGGGTTTATTCTTTGGGGTACAGTTCTTGACACGAACGTTGTACAGCAAAATGCCTTCCAGACACACAGAGCTGCCTGTGAGCACGGTGCCAGGCACGAGCCTGCAGCCAGCCCAGCACAGCTTCCCTTACCCCGGAGCTTTCACACCTAACCTGGCTGCGGCCACCTGAGCAACACCCATGACATCCCCAACCAAAAACCAGTGCCTGCCTTCCAGCTGTCACCCAGATGAAGAAAGGAGAAACCTCCCTCGGGCCCTTCCCCAGCATCATTTTGCTCCTTTCCTTCTAACGGGAACTGGGAACCGGCATCTCTGCTCTCTTTACCCAGACACCTACTGCTCAAATCAGTGCACGCAGAGCAGGTTTTGCCCTTTGCTACTTTCTCTGAGAAAATTGTTTGCAAATCAGTTCGCCATATGCCCAGGCAGATGCTGAGCAGTGTGACACACAACGCTTGTGAAAGCTGAAGATCTTTATTATTCACCCGCTTGGCTCTTTTACTGCCTTTCACAATCTGCCTCACTGGATTCCTCAAGACTGAGTGCAGTTTTTTAGGTCTAAGAGCCACCACCCAGCAAATTATCAGCATTACACTGATAAGAATATTACACAGTATAAACCTGGAGCACTGATAAGGATCTAGGAACACCAACACCAGCTTTGCCAGCCCTGCTCTCTCTAGGTATTTGTGTGAACCCGCACCACAATGATCAGCCACCAATCGATAAATCCTTATGGCACCCAGAGAGGAAGGAAGGGAAGCTCAGACGCAGTTTCAGACACGAAGCAACAGAGAGAGAAAGCTGACTGTCCCGGGAGGTCTGGGCTGGGGGGACACAAGTGTCCCAGCCCCGAAGGCAGTCACCAAACAAGGCACCCACTGCTCCACTGAGCTGGAAGCTCTCCAGGGCTGGTCTTTAGCACCCCCAGAAAACACTCCTGAAATTCCCAGCAGGAGAAGGGTGCAAAGGGACAGCCTAAAGTCCAAAGCAATGCTCTCTATTGGGTTAATGTTTGCTGAATTACAGGAAGCACAAAAGGAAAGTCCAATAGGCACCAGCAGCTTTGTGTAAGCAGCCCGATTTGCACCGCGCTGACACGGCCGCCGGCCTGTGCTGGGAGCCGTGCACTCCGTCCTGCTCCCACCCGGTGCTGCCAGAGAGATGGGTCTGCTCCTGAAGGTCATCCTCCCCTTGATGGGGCTGGGGCTGGCCGTGTATTTTTATTCAGCACCCGAGAATTTCAACGAGGGTAAGTGATTGAACGGGCACGCTGCAACCCCAGCTGGCGAGGCTGCTGCCTGCGTGGCAGCGAGGAGCTGAGCAGCCCGGCCTGAGCTGTTCAAGGGCTTTCCAAAGCGCAGCTGGAAGAGCCCAGGTGTGGGGGTGCGGGCTGTGGGGGCAGCACATGGGTGCTGCAGGTGGTCAGAGCCCCCTGTGCCATGCGGGAGAAGCTCACGGGACTGTGCATGGGTCTGCCAGGCTTGCCTTCTTAGATCTCAGCACATTAATTAGTTTAGGAAACATGCAGTTACCAATTTTAAACATTTAATCCTTGCCATGAATGATTGTCAGCTCTTGGCATTTCCAAAAGTAGTTCCTGACCGGGCTGGACACAGCTCGAGCCTGTTCAAACCCAGCTGCAGCCCAGGCAGGGTCCGCACCAGCGGCTGCACGGAGGAGCCGCCTGCAGGGGCCTGGGCAGCGCGGGCCGTGCACGGCTCTGAGCTCTGCGTCCTCTCCAGAGATGCTCCGGGGGAAGCGGGTGATCGTGACGGGAGCCAGCAGCGGCATTGGGGAGCAGATGGCGTACCACCTGGCACGCATGGGGGCCCACGTCCTGGTCACCGCGCGGACGGAGGCCAAGCTGCAGAAGGTGAGCGCAGGCAGCACGCAGCAGGTGCTTCCACTGTGCCACAGAATCAAACTTCAGCGGTCATATTCCTGCTTACAAACGTTAAATATTAGCTCGGGGGGACATTAAGTCACTGCAGAAACTTTCCTTGAGCAATGTCTCCCCCCCGAAGGCAGGGGGATGCTGTGGGACAGGCAGAGGCGCTGCCTGCCCGCCCCAATCCCCTCACCACCACCGCTCTCGCTCTTGCCGCAGGTCGTGGAGCGGTGCCGGGAGCTGGGTGCAGCATCCGCCCGCTTCGTGAGCGGCTCCATGGAGGACACGGCGTTCGCCGAGGAGGTAGTGAAGGAGGCCGAGAACACCTGGGGTGAGTGGTGGGTGCTGCCCCTCCTCTCCCACACCACATTTCGGGGCCGTCCCGGCCACCAGAAAGCAGCTTTGTTCTGAGATGCTGGCTGCCACTAGCAAAGGTGCTCTGCTTCCAGGAGGCCTCGATATGCTCATCCTGAATCACATCGGCCACTCTTACTTCAACTACTTTGATGGGGATGTGGACCACATACGAAAGCTCCTGGAGACCAACTTCCTCAGCTACGTGGCGATGACCGTGACTGCCCTACCCATGCTGAAGGAGAGCGAGGGCAACATCGTCGTCGTTTCGTCTGTGGCAGGTGGGCACACGAGGGGCCAGGCTCTCCGTGCCACGTCCCTCCCTCTGCCTGCTGCAGGGACAAGGGCCGTGAGGCTGAGCCACCCCAGCAGGAACCCAGCGTCAGCAGCTGGCTGACATCCTGGATGCACGATACAAGTGCTCTGGGCTTTTACAGCCCCTGCCCTCAGAGATCCGGTATCACACAATCAGCTACTTGAAGGGCAAGAGGAGGGGAGAGCCGTGACACTTTGTACTTGCCCAGCACACGTGAACACTGATCTTGTGCCTTTGCCCCAGGTAAAGCCCCTGGCCCGTTTGCTGCTCCCTATTCTGCAACAAAGTTCGCCTTGGACGGATTTTTCAGCTCCTTGCGACATGAGTTCATCATAGAAAACGTCAATGTTTCCATCACGCTCTGCATCCTGGGCTACATTGACACTGGTAAGCTCAATGCCACCGGGGCTCGTGGCTTGCGGAGGGCACGTCAGGCGGAGGTGAGCCCAGCATCACCAGTGCGGGGCTTCACCAGCCCTCTGCCCTGTGCAATTTGGGAAATGGAGTCTCAGCACTAAAAAAAACAACAAACAACAACAACAAAACAAAACAACCTTTGTCTCTGCTACCTTTGCAGTAAACTCACGGGAGGTGGGGATTCATCATCAGGAAAGGGAAAGGAACGGGAAGGATATTGCTATCGCTTTGCAGCTATTCCATACCCTAGCAGACCCAATCCCCAGCATTTAGGGGTTTGTTAGGGGAAGCTACAGGCACCCCGGTGCCCGCAGCAGCCCCGCTGTGACCCAGCTCTTTGCTCTGCCCCCCCAGACAACGCCATGCAGGCGGTCTCACATGCCATCAAGGTGGCCCCGTCGCCCAAGGAGGAGTGCGCGCTGGAGATCATCCGCAGCGGGGCCCTGCGCCAGCACGAGCTGCACTACCCACCCGGCATCGTGAACGGGATGCTGCTCCTGCGTGGCCTGGCCCCCGGCTTTCTTGACACCCTCATCAGGAGCAACATCGTCGTGGAAAACGTCCAGAGAGCGCCGCCACCCCACGGCACCAGGGTGCCCCCGGCCGGCTCCCCGGGGTCGGGGCGTTAGCGCGGCTCCAAGTGCCCGGGGTGGCCCCGCACTGACGCGCCCCACACACAGCGGTGTCTGCAGAAAAACCCACCCCGAAACAGCACGTGGGGACGCTTTGTGAAGACAGCACAGCTGGGAACATGGGGCCCCTCCGGAGCTGCCCACGCAAGATGGGACAACAGAAAACAACGACATGGCACAAAAACATCTCTTTTAGTTAGGACACTTGTAGCCGGCCTCTGCTGATCAAGAGGAGCATGCAGCAGGGCTCCCTCTCGCCAGCCATTCTCTTCCCCTGGCTCCACAAAAGCTGAAAAATTCAGAAATCCACAAGGCTGGAAACAGAGAGGGGTTCGGGAAGCATGCTCAGGCTGTGTGCTTTGCTGCACATGTTCTCTGCATTTCATTGCATCCCTCTCAAAGGGGGGATTAAGTAAAAGGTAATTAACAGGAAAGGCAACTGGGCCCGCAGAACACAGCCTCCTGCTTCTGAGGGAAAGATGATGGGATTCAGAATGGCTCGACTGAAACATGAAAATCTTCAGTGACCTACTTAAAATTAGATATTTTTTGGGAAAAAACAAAAAAACAAAAAAACAAAAAAACAGTTATTTAGACTTGGGGAAGAGGATTATAAATCAGAACTGCATGGGTTGAGGGCAAAGGGGACCAGGCTCCTGAACAGGGATTTAGGCCAACCCGTGCAAAATGCCCAGAGAAAGCCACAGGAGAGGGTCTTTGAAATGGAATATTTTTTTCCTGTATCCTCTCTAGGATGGTCTGTGGAAAAAATAAACCTTACATTCCTTTATAGCATCTCTAGTTTGAATTTTGTTCCTTCTCCACTTGAGTATGCGCAGAGCCCTTATCAGCATGCAGCTGGTTAAACCAACCTTGCTGCATGATTTGCATTAACACAGCTTTCACTTCTCTAAAGACCTTAATGAATTTCTGCCATTTGTGACCTCCCCTCGGCTGCTGAAATATACTTTTTTTTTCTTCTCCTTCCAATCTGCAAGAGGCCTTCAAATAATAGCATTACTGCACTTGGCTAAGTCTGGATTTCTTTACCCCAAAGCAGCCTGGAGAGATTCGGTCAGCCGGTTCCACAGGCAGCTCCTGGGACCAGCGCTCAGCCTCCAAGTGTCAGAGAGCGATAAAGGGAGATGGCCCAAGAGATAGCCGCTGGCTCTGCATGGAGGGAAGCCACAGCCTTTGGCACCCCAAGATAACCCGGTCTCCCCGTGCCGGGCGCGCGCACCCCTGGCCTCCCCGCCCGCCAGCAGGACAGGAACCGGGGCTGCGGCTTCAACGTTTCCTGTTTGACAGAAAGAAAAAGGGCGAGGGAGCAGCACCCTGAAGTCGCTAGTACCGCGATGACAGCTGGTAGTGCATTTGCACCCCACAGCACCGCACTCGCCCCGCTGCTCCGCGGTGGCTGAGTAGGAGCCGGGTAAGTGCCCTGCGGCACCGGGGCTGCCCTGCTCAGCGCCGAGCACCTTTTTTCCACTTTTTTTTCACCCTGCTCTCAGCCTACATGATTGACACGGGGAGGCTGTAACATGAACCGGCAAGAAACAATTTTTTTGTTTGTTTCCCTTGAAGCAAGAAACGTTAACAACTTGGAAAGCAAAGATAGAGGACACGTTTGTTAATTAGAGAGGGTTATTTGGGGTAACAGAAGAAGGAAATAAAGTATTAGCTTGTCAAGAAGGCCTCAACAGCTTGCTCAGCTTGGGGTGAGTAATGGACCGTGCATTTCTTTAAGCTTTACCTTACTTTAAAGCCCATTTTGGGTTAACCCATCTGTGGGATGGCCGGGCGGGCTGGGCGCGGGGCTGTGCTGCTTCCCACCGGAGGAGCCGGATGGCCAAGGCCTGGGTGCACCGTGCAATTAGGCCACTTCTAAAATTACGAAAACCGAATTAAAAAAAAAAACACTTTTATCATGTCCTGAAGAGGTTGGAGCAGGTTTGTCTGCAGATACGTGTTTTGTCCCAAGCCGTGGAGCTTGCTGGGTGTTCAGGCAGCATGCTGTGGGGTGCAGGTGGGTGCCCAGGGTGGCTCGGTGGGGTGAAGCTGCTCGCCTGGCCCTGCCGTGCCCACCGGGCGAGGGGACGCAGGCGTGAGCATGGAGGGGAAAGGCCCAGCTGGGCACAGCAGGGTCATTACGGTATGGACACAAAATCTGGCACAAAGATAAGCTGCTTAGCCTCTCGTGGCCCCAGACCCCTTCATCTTAAAGTGCCTGGCAGTAAGAAACACCCAACAAACGCAACACTGGTGGGACCCTTTGGTAAGCTTAAGGTAAAATTAGAGACGCTTCAGAAGCCATTTGAAGCTTCAAAGAGCGGAATATGCAAACAACTATGAATGCAGGGCTCAGCAAGCGCCGCCTCCTCTTTCAGGAGCGCTCGGCTGCAGGGCACCACGGCCCCACGCCCCGGCGGGCTGTGCGCTCACGGCAGCGTGCTGCCGGCTGCTGCAGCTTCCTGAGCCCCGAGCAGGATCAGCCCCGGCAGCGCTGAGCACAGGCCCCGCAGCGAGCAGCAGGCACTAGCGACGTGCCTGCATGGCAGCACAGCCCGACAGCAAAAAGAGCGAAGGCACAGATCTTACCGCAGACTAAAAAGCATGGAAGTGTTGCATACGTAAATGGATTTTTACTTGCTCACATTTTCCCCTCCCATTAGATGTAATGACTTCCTAATTGCTTGAGACAGAGTGACACCAATGAATTTTCTCGTTTTTTTTTTCTTCCTTCCTACATTAACATGGTTTACTAAACATGAGAACAAAACCCCACACACAACATGGCCCCAGGCTGAGTAGGAGCAAGGCGCAGAGCCCAGGAGCCTCCCAGCCACGCTCCCAGAATGGCACAGGGACAACGAGCCCCTTCCCTGCTGATCGGCGAGGGGCAGGAGGGGATGAGATGCTCGCTTGAGGGAGGAAGGACAGGATGCTGCAGGTGGTTATCCCTCAGCTTTCTCTTTGACTGATGCAGAGGCAAAGGTCCAAACACAACCAAAGCCTTGTAAAACGGAAAGCACGGGTGTCTGGCAGCCATGCAAAGCTGGAGGACAGCAGCACCCGGCAGCTGGGCTCTTTGGGGAGCAGGGGCACCCCGACCTGCAGGGCACTGCCAGGTTCTGCACCCCAAAACACCCCTGGCCCCACAGCCACAGGCTGCACACAGGAAGGCAGCCACCACTCAGAAACACCACACCACTGCTCGAGGCGTGAATTACTCAATGGCAAGGCTATTTTGGGAGCTATTGAAAAAGTAGGACAAAAGATAGACACACTTTGTAACTTTACTACAGAAACAGCAGCAGCTATTGTGCTTCCTGTGGCTCCATCATCTTCTTTCGGTTGGCTAAAAAAAATGTAACTACACACACACAAAAATTTGTCTAAAAAACAGAGGGGTTTTATTTTATAGGGAAGAGAGCTCTCCCAGAGGAAGCTGTGGAAGCACTACTACTTGGTAGTGAAGGCAACTTCATGAGGTTGAGCTCACTGTTTGCAATTCTGCTCCAAGCATCCCCTGGGTCAGCAGCCACCCCACTGAGGAGCAAAACCAGAGCGGGATGTTTTATGTCACCAGCATGCACAAGCTCATTTTCCACGAACACCACTCACATCCACTGGATAAGAACTCCAGAATTAGTCCGCCTACAAATACCTCACATTTACTTAGTCTTAGAAACGCTTGTTTTTCACTCAAATCCTGTCTCATCCCTTGGTTTTGGCAGGACGGAGGCCTGTAGTGGTGGCCCCAGCATGATCAGCCCTCCCGAGCGGGCCCGGCCGCGGCGCACGGGCGAGAGCTACGAGGAGAAGTGCGAGCGGCGGCACGAGACGCGCGAGGCCTTGCGGCGGCGGAGCCACCCGCCGAGCTGCCGTAGGCCCGGGCGGATGGCGGAGGAGCTGCCTCAAAGCCCGCGGCAACGCGAGTTCCTCCGGAGGAGGAATCTGTCCAGCACCACACTGGAGGTTCCAGGGGCCTCCATGTGCCCGCCCCCAGCCCGCCCGGCCTGCTGCAGGTAACGCCAGCCCCGCGGGCAGCTCCGTTTCTCTGGTGCAGAGCCAAAGTGCAAAGTGAGAATGCACCTGCAAAAACCTCGTGTTTCCTTACACACTGCGGAGTCAGGCACGGGTAAACAGCGATGCCTCCCTCCCAGCACGTTCCTTTCCTGTTTTCCAAGCTCAACTTGAAGCAGATGGAGTGTTACTGCCATTGCTCTAAATACAGCCCCGCGTCCTAGCTGCCAGACTAGTTTTGCACTCACATAAATTACTTTTCCCTCATGAAAACTGCGCTCTGAACACCTGGCTTCCCCCAGCACCTTCTTTGTCAGGAAGGAGGACGCTCTGTGGCCCCGCTGCCTGCCCAGTGCTGCCCAGCTAACGGCAACCCCGAGAGTCAGGAGATTTACAGAAAGGCGCAATGCAAAACACCCCAGAGTCAAACAGATTTCCTTCTAAATTTGTATCCCGTGCAAAATGAATAATTCCCCTGGCATAGAGCAAGTTCATCCTAGGGGCTTTGTGAACTTACGCTAGCAGAGGCAGTGGAAGGCGAGGTGCTGGTGGGACACCAGCACACCCTCGAGCTCCCCTTGCAGCACGTGGGCACGGAGAGCTGTTCCCACCCGGCGGGCTTTCACCTGCTGGTAAAAGAGTTTTGGTGCTGCTGCAGCCAAACCAGCAGGTCCACATTGAAGCAGCCCTGGTTTCTCAGCATCTCTTTGATGCTCTAGCACTCCCTAGCCACTGGAGGTACAAATCCTGACCCAGCCGTATCTCCTTGCCCTCTGTTTCGGAGAGATCCTGACACAAGCCACCCTTTTGTTCCAGCGCCCATGGAGCCACCCCGCATACCCCCCTGTGCTCTCCCCGCTCGGCCTTGGCAGCCCCCTCGATGTTTCGGCAGAAGCCACCCCTGTGCCATGCGTCTCCACGAACACCCGAGGTAGGTGAGGGATGCTCAGCAGTCACAGGACAGGAGCTGAGCACCTTCCTGGTTTTGCCATCCCGGGCTGAGCATCCCCACCAGGCTGCAGGCGTTAGGAATATCTCCTCAGCCAGCCCGCAGCTCAGTGAGCAGAGCTCCCCAGCTGGTGCTCGGGGCTCCCTGCAGATGCCCCAGATTATCCTGGACACACAGGCTAACTGCAGGCTGCAGAATTACACTTCTCTTTCCCCCTGAGCCCAGCAGCATTCTGCTTCTTGTCCCTGCTGGGCTGGGTGCTGGTTACCCCCTCCCCCCCCCCAAGACACAGTGCCCTTTTGGAGAGCTCAGCACACACTCGCACAAAGAGCTCCAGGGCCCCTCCATGGCAGGGCATCGGGCACATCCTCTTGCTTTATTTTCACAGGAACTCAGACGCTCACAAGCGCAGGGGTGAAAGACTCGAGCCAGCAGACAGAGTAAGCCACGTCCCCCCTCCTGCCCTGCGCTCTCAGGCCCCACGAGGCCGCCTTGCAGGGCCCAGCCCGTGCCCATTCTCTGCATGAGCTCCATGAGCATCCACGCACTGCTCCGGCTGGGGGGAGAGGCTGGTGCCCGGGCTGCTCCAGAAGCCTGCATCACCTTCACCTCACTTACATGCTTTCTTTTTCCATTTCAGCTGTGGAACAGCGGTTTTAAATAAGGTAAGCAAAACACATGGACAATAACTAGACTTGAACTCCTACAAAAGAGCACAGTTACTAAAATTTCTGACCTGAACACCAACTGGTGCTAAATTTCTGTGGTTTCCTGAATAACGACACGGCTACTCCAGGCGCTGCATGGCAAAGGTGCCATAAGGAACTGCAGAAAGAATTTCCACTTCCCTGGAAATGTAGATGTTTGTGAACTGAAACAATCCCGTGGACTGAAATATTTCCCCTTTCCCTTCCAGGAAATCATACAGCTGTCCAGCTACCTGAAGGTAGGCACCACACGCTGTAAGCGCTTCCCTGGAGAGCAGCCCTTGAGCAAGTACAGCCATGGGATTATTTGTTATTAAAAAACGGGGTGCCACGTACCCAGTGTTAACACTGCCAAGAAAGCACACAGACAAGCTGCCAGACCTGGGGACACCCCGAGCCCCAAGGGGCCCCCATGGGGCCACCTGACTCTGCTTCGCTTCCCTGCAGGAGGCCCTGCACCGCGAGCTGCTGCTGAAGCAGAAGATGGTGATCCTGCAGGAGCTGCTCTCCACGCTGCTGAAAGCCTCCTGAAAAATCCTGGCAGGTACCAGGCGGCTGCTGGGGCTGGGGAAGGCTTTGCCACGGCAGGGATCAGCTTGCCTGCACCAGCAAAAACCCCACGTGCCTCCTTTTCCAAGCTGTAGCTCGGCCTGGCCGCAGTGCTGTACAGGTTGGAGATGCTGCGGGTCTGAAATGCAGCAACATTGCCACCTGGAAGACAAGGCACCGTGTCGGACTGGAAGCAGCTGCTTGCTTTTTCCCCTTCCTTGCTCTCCCCTTCCTTTTCAGGGCAGGTTGAACACAAACTCAGAAAGAAGTTAGGGGGTTATGTTGCTTGATTTTGTCCCTATCATCCCCTACAAAAAAATGCAACAGCATTTACACCTTCTGTTAATCTGAAAGCAAGGTAAAACCCTTCTCTTCTGTAAAATTCCAAGATTTATTTATTTATTTTTAAAGCACTCATTTTTCCCACCTTTGCTCAAGTAAAAAGACAGTAGAAGTAGTTAAGTAGGGGAAAAAAAATAAAAGAAAAAAAGAAAAAAAAAAGACAAAGAGTGAATCCAAGCAACCACCTTCCACCTTGTTTTTCTTCTAGTCAAGTCTTAGACATTTTGAACCAAATTTTCCTGGCCAAAATAAAAATTTTAGCTGCTCCAAACTGGAGAACCTGCCCAGCCTGGGGTATGCTGCTGAGCTGTGGCTATGCATCGAGCCTTTTCCTCATAGCTCAGACAAAATCCTACAGGCAGCACTGAGCCAGGGCTTCCCCTCCTCCTCATTGCATCAGGAGGTAAGAGGAAGGTGATGAATTTTAGGAATCATTTTATGGTGACCCGTGAAGTGCTTTAAGTAGGGTTATTAAATCAACTATTAATATACCATTTGGTGTGCCATCAAAAAAAAAAAAAAAAAGTGGTTTGAAGTTTCTGTTGGGGCAGAAAAGCAAATGATAGGATGAGATGCTGTAAAAAAAATGTGTTAGATGTACTGTGGTTAGAAACTTCCGCCTTCGCTTGCTTCTTCAAATATAATGCGAGCAGGAAAAAACACTGACACACACTGCAGGAAGTAGCCATGAAACCTCAGATTAGAAACAGGTGGGTGCACTTTGCTTCTTGCTATCTCTGCCAAAGAAGGGAGGCTTTGCTGCTGATCTTGCCTTCAACCTTTCATCAAGGACTAAGAATTAGCTCGCTGCTGGCTCTGCACCACCTGGGGAAGAAGGCAGGGGCTGTGCCGGGAGGGGGCCGGAGGGGCAGGGGCTGCTCGGGAGGTGTGGACGGGTACAGCAGTGCAAGTGGTGTCCGGGTGGGCTGCCCTGTGTGTGCTGCAGCAGCTTTTAAATCCTTCCCAACCAGCCAGCAGTAAGTCTTGAAATGGCCACATGGTTGTTTTTTGAGTTATTGCTCATGTTCCTGGGTGATTCTCATTTGATGGAGCAAGTGAATGCTGTGCAGGAGGATGGGAGCATCGTTACCCCGCAGGGATGGGTGCCCCGTTCCTCCTCCCTGTGGTTTTACCTCCAGGCTGGAGCCTGTCCCACCACAGGTCCGGCACTCAGACCCCATCAGTTGTACAACTTGCTTTGTTGGTTCAAAAACACTGCCAGGTGCAGGAAGCTAAGTCAGTCATGGTTGTTAAGAGCAGTTACTTCTGGGCTGTGCTCTTCTTAAAGAGAATTATTCCTTTAAATCATTTGCATCCCTTTCTGAGCTCTACAGTTGAGCCTGGCTATTGGAAATGTCTTGGAGCCCTGCCAATTTTAAGCTCTTTGTCATATCCAGTGCATTCCTGTAACTTTCTGGACCCATTTTTCTAGCACAGGCATCGTGTTTGGGCAAACTGGAAGTCCTCCAGAAACAGCACTTAAAAATTATCGCTTTAAACTAGCTATTTAAAATGGCTAGCAGAAAGGAGTATCAGGGGAAATTCCCCGGTCACAGGACAACCAGACCACTGCGGCTGCTGGCCCAGAACAGTTTTAAAGATGTGTATGGCACTTGAGTGACAGCCGCAGAAAAATGCAGAATGGTTTTAAAGCAAAGGTTTTTGGAGCTGCTCAGGCTGTAACTTCAGACTCGAGGGCTTTGGTGAATTCAAATCCAGCATTTGCAGGAGCGCATTTTGAACACCAGCCCCAGTCCTCTCCTCTGACTGCGTTTTTGTTCTTGGGCTCTCATGCTAGGATCCCCAGGTGGTGTTCAAAAACAGCACCACGTGAGACACTGCAGAAGACAGGAAAAAAACAACCGCCATCTGACAGCGGTAGCAATAAGGTTTTGTTATCGTGGGGTGATTTGGGGTGGTTTTTTCCTGGGGGTAGTGGTGGTGCTTTAAACCAGCTCCTTTCATGTCCATAATTGTCAGCACAAGGGCTTGCCCAAGATTAGCTCACACAACTTTTCTGGTCAGAGGCACGACTGCTCACGCCCTCCCTCGCATGTGCACAAGCCCACTCGCCCCTCGCCGACACGCTGTTCTGGCAACAGGCAGTTTGTTCCATTTAGGGAAATCTCCATACCGTATGTTCTTTCACCAATTTGTAAGCTGTATCCTCATTAAAGGAGTTTGCCAGCACATTTCTGCTCCCAAGCGTAGGAAGGGCCTGGTGCTCCATTGCCTGGTACTTTGCAGAGTCATTTACATCTGTGCACAAGGGCTGTGAACCACCACCACCACCCTCCCCTGCGAACCTCTGCAGAGAGCAGAATGAAACGCACTGCAGAGCAAAGTTAGGCATTAAAGTCTACATTTAAAATTGCTTTTCAAAATTCCACCTACTTTCTAAGGGGTTATAGCCTTCAGGTTTTGTTGTATTAACTGAACTGGGAAGCTTTATTCTTTGCGACTGTAAACTGACTTCTGTGCAAATCTGAGCAGTGCTAAGACACCAGAGAGTCTGGTTTTGCTTGGGTCTGACAGCTCTTCCCGTAACATCAAGGAGCTGCTTATTCAGAGGCCTGACTTCAAACAGCAGCAAGCAGAGATGGTACTGATGTTCTCAGTATCAGCGGTGGAAAAACAGCCTACGTGAACCCTTTGCTAGAAATTTTTATCTGAATTTGCATGCAGTCTGGTTTCACAAAACCTAAGTAAAAAGTCTGACTAACACCGAGAGGAGATGATAATAGGGAAAATGAATCACCACTACTGCCATCCGTCCCCCTGCCCAGCTGCTCGATGTCGCAAGGCAGACCCGGGCCATTTCCCAATGCCAGCAGCAGGAGCAGAGCCGGCACCGCCGGGCTGCAGGCACCGAGTGGTGCAGGCAGGAGCAGGGAGCACGGCCTGCAGGACAGACAGCGGCCGTGTGTCCGACAGTCCCATCCCACCTGGTGTGAAATCACTTCATCATCTTTCCTTCTCCTACTGCAGGCACCCACACTCTGCCTCCACAGGGTTTTCCAGTGCGTAAAGGTTTTCCTTCCCCCGTAACCCACCTATTCTGGGATTGTGAAGGATTATTTGAGCTCTAAGCACTGAAAAGATTTTGACCAAGTTTAGCCACAATATAGAAGAAAAGGGAGATAGAGAACAAACAAGCTAACAAAACATCAGAGGCGTATTGTATAATTTTTGATTTACACACACTGGGCCAATTGTTTTTCCCCAGGGTCAGCTGAATGAAGACAAACTGAAGTGCAAACTAAGGGCCCTTGAAAATCAGCTGCAGGCCTGCACCCAGGTAATGCCCGATTCTCTGAGAAACAAACACGGGTGAAGAAAGGCATGAAAATGAAATACTGAATCATGTAATTAGGTCGGGTCTCAGTTTCTAGAGCAATCTGATTAGATATGGATCTGAAAAGTATTTCTCCTCTTTGCTGAAGCAATGTTTCACAGTAAATTAACAGTAGCGCTTACACACTGTGGATTTGCTAACATTCAGGCTTAGCAAGATTAGGAATATGCCAGATAAGACCCTTCGAGCACTTCTGTTCCTCCATTAAAGAGTTACTCAAAGGAGTGCGTGAAGAAGATCCTGATAGAGATGGAGGACCAGAAGCAGACCTATGAGCAGAAGGCGAAGGAGGCTCTTCAGAAGATGCTCGAAGACAAACTCCAAGCAGAGCAGCAGCTGCAAAACTCTCAGGTAAGAAACGTGTTTTATACCTGATTGTTTTTTAAGTTACTGAGCAAGGTCAGTTTAGTGCCAACCTGTGTTCACGTAAGCCCCACATCAGGTTATTAAGAACAGCACATCTGGAGACACACACCGCTGCTCAGCAGTTCGGAGTGTGTTCCCTTTGCTGCCCCACTCCTCACCCCATCCCCTCCCCATGCCCACCAAGCCACAAGCCGCACACAGCATCCAGCACACGAGGTCTCTGGAGATGCTTTCTCTGGCGTGATTTCACATCAAAACAGCTTTTTTCCCAGGAGGCATCCTGCGGATCAAAGCAAAATGCTGGCAGGCATTTTCAGGACACTAACCAAATCGTGTCCCAAGTCCTACCAGCCTTCCCTGTCCCCACATTGTCCCACAGCATCGGATCCATGCCAGGTTACGACAGGTTGGAGCAGCGTGAGGCTGGCCTCCCCCTGGCCTCCCGCAGCACAGTCCCACGGGCAGCAGGTCCACCCACGGTCCCCACTTCCCCCAGAGATGCCTGGAGGTGACGAGGGAGGACCTGGCCCTCTGGAAGGTGCACTACACCACGCTCAAAGCCGAGTGGACCCAGATGACCAAGACGCAGAGCGAGCTGGAGAGCAACCTCCACATTCTGCAAAGCAAACTGCAAGTATGTCAGCTCCCCTGCGGGAACGGCACCATCTCCCACTGAGCCCGCTTTTCCCACCTAATTAAAAAAAAAAAAAAAAAAAGCCAGTTTGGTGAAGCACAATTACTCTGTCCTCCTTGGTTCGGGTGCCCCCCTCACGTGCCCCCACTAACACCAGGCTCCTCTCGCCCCAGCACACAGCGGCACAGAACGAGCAGCTCCAGCAGGCCCTGGACCGCCTGCAGCAGGAACACGCCGAGCTCCAGCAGCGCGCCAGCGCCCTGCAGGAGGACAACCAGCTCCAAGCTGAGCACATCAGCACCATCGAAGGTACCGCGCAGGGGGACGGGGCCACTCCTCCCAGTGGAGGGCAGATATAAAGCAGATACTCGTAAAGGCCTGATCCTGACAGCCAAGCACACCCAGAACTATCTTCCTCTGAATGCATTGCACATCTCAGCTTGCAGAGAGCCTCTGGTTTCCAAAAGGGCTCCGAACATAGCTTCCAACCAGATTAGAGGTGTTTCAGGAAAGCCAAGTGACTTCCCAAGAAGACAGAGTGGAATGGGAAACCTAGAAAGTCAGAGATCAGTAATTGTTTCTCATGGCTATTTTAAAACAAAATTAAGGAACACCAGTTGGGTGGCAGTTCAGCTTTCACAATAGTCTCACTCAAACGGGTTTAAAGCACATTCAATTAATTTATTCATCATTTAAGATGCACTAGAAGAAGCTACCAAAACTGCAAGTGTAATTAATAGCTAAAAAGTACATTCCTTCAGAGATTAAATTTCAGTGGACCCAACAATCTCTGCTCCACTTTACACATTTGGAGAAAGGGAAATCTGCCATACTTGCATAAAAACACATGGAGATTTTTATCAACCCTGATTTTCTTATTATTTCAGGTTTTCTTACTATTATTATTTCAGGTAAACTGCAAAAAGAACAAAATCAGAAGCTAACATTACAAAACCAGAAGCTATCCTTGGAGGTGACAATCAGCCACCTACACAGTAAGTAACACAAAGAAGCACAGCACGAAAGACCTGCGTTGGTGCCGTGGCCACTGATGGTGACTTTTTATGTCCTCAGACTTGCTGCAGAACCAGACCAACGAGCGGAAAATGCAGGAAGCGATGGTGCAAAGGAAAGGTCAGCAAACTTTCTAACTCCCATCTAGCACTCCTCTAGCTGGACATGGGAATGTTAAAAGTGACTCTAGGAACAGTTTATATTTGTTTAGAATAAATGATTATTTTAAAACTGTGTGAAATTGGTTATATTTTGTTAGTTAACTTTAAATTTCAAGTGTATTTATGATGGCAAGTACTTAAAAAAATAAAGGGATTTCATTGCAAATTCTACTTCAGTGGCTATACTTTTTTAAAAATATATAGATTTATAGATAGATTCCAGTTTGTAACTGCAATTACAGCTGTACTTGAAGTAATAAAAGGCATTTTAACTCTCCTTCCCTTCCATTTCTGGCAACTACTTGGAAATACTCCTCTAAAGATGATTAACTTGCATCTGCAGGAGAGGCAAGGCTATGATAACTAACTCAGCTCCTCTCTGTGCATAGCATGCAAATATTATCTTTAAACTGTGCTGAGTATACAAGATACAAAGCAAACTGGAAGCCAGGACCTGTTTCTCATCAGAAGCCTGACTGTTTTCTAGATCAGGTTTTCACCACGCAGAGCCCACCTCTCCCTCCTGCCAAGGAAACACAAAATGCTCTGTTAAAGCACCCTGAGGAGGAGGCAGAAGAAAGCCTGAAGGCTGAGATGCAGGAAAGGACATCCCAGCTTACAGCAAAGGAGAACGAGGTGAGGAAGCACTGAGTCACTGGCTGGGATGGAGTCACCCCGCTAGGGACTGAGCTCCCAGGAGCGAGCAGGAAAACAACGCATTAAAGCTCCTGAAGGCAGCCAGGGCTCCAGACTGCTCCTGGAACCTGCTCCAAGGATTACCTTTGCTGATTTTTTCTTTTGATACCAGCCTCAGCTACAGCCCACAACAGGTGTGCACAAGGCTGGGGCACTGAGCAGCTTTGTGACCAGGGGCACTGCTTCAGCAGCTCCGGCTGAGCCTCTGCAGGTGAACCCAGTTCAGGGAGAGAAATAGGAAAAAGCCAAAGCCATGTTTTAAGAGCTGAAATCCTGAGCACAAATGAACCAGAGGAAAAGAAAAGGTTCACAGATAACACGAAGGGTCTGCTAACACTAAAAACAAACAAACAAACAAACAAAACAAAAAAAAAAAAACAAGAATGTAAAACTTGACCATAAAAAACTCAAGAGTTTCCTGACCTCTTGCATGGTCTCTCCCGTATCAGAGACTGCTTCAGGACTCAAAACCACAGCACAAACTGCGCCCTCTACCCGCCACCAACAGTCCTCTATTTCTTACAGTGCAATTTAGGTAATGGAGACTTACGAAAATAAGATTTGCAACGTTCCATAGCAGACCTGGGAACGGCACAGGAGGAAGAGTTGTCCTACAGCCCGACTCCAGTGAGGGCACCAGCAGTATCAGGCAGCACCCTGCCCCAGCTGGGGACGGAGTTTGTAAAAGTGCAACCCCAGCAATAGGGACCAGCTGCGGGGACCAGCTGCAGGTGCTGGGGATGCAGGGCAGCTGGGACCCAGGAGGTGGCAGGGTCTTGCACCGTGCAGCTGGTTGGGACTGAGGGTGCTCTCTGGATTTGGGGACGTGCAGCGTGACCGAGGCACCCGCCCTATGCGTCCCACTGCTCTCACAGAGCAAAGTGAACCCCCTCCCATGATTTTTTACCTCCTGACTTACACACAAAAAAATAGCTATTGCTGTTTTCTCTCATGAAAGATGGCAGCGAAAGCAAACAGGTCACAGGATGGGAATAACCAGGGCACAGCCTGCATCACCATGTAACCCTGAAATCTGCTCTGTCCTGTGCAGGTATATGTGGGCACAGAGGTGGCAGAAGTGAAACTCCCCCATCACCAGGCTGCCCGTGCACAGGCGAAGAGCCACGGCTGCTGCGGGAGCCCTGCCGGTCTCGGTGTGCCTGGCACCGTGGGGCTCGCTCCCGCTAACGCCCCCGCTAACGTCCCCTTGCAGTGCCAGGAGCTGCGCGCCGAGCTGGAGGCCCTGAGCGAGGAGTACCGCTCCTGCCTGACCAGGCTGCGCCAGTGCCGGGACGAGCTCAACCACGTCCAGAGCAAGCCAGCGAAGGTGGGAGATGTTCCTCGCCCCAGCCCCGCGGCACATGGTCCCAGAGCTTCCCTGTTGTTTGTTTCCACATGGGTCTGGGACAGTTCTCCCGTTTATCCGGGCAGTGTTTAAAGATGAATGACGTCTGTTAGGAACAATGAGAAGTTTCTTCTGCCCACCAGCTTCCTGGTAATGCTTGCTTCTCTTTGCAGAGACAGCGTGGTAACTGGCTCCCTCTTCTGCTGGCAGTGATAGCAATGGCCATGGCTGCCTTCCTCGCAAACTACCGACCATGAGGCACCTTCTCAGCGACTTCTGTTCAGAACTGACTTCTGCTTCACCAGCAGCAACGAGTGACGCACCTTCTGCTGCTCTTGTACTTACCCTGGTTCGTACCCTGGGCTGGGCTCACTCCAGGCAAACTGACACAGCTCCAATAAACGCAGGGGGATTGCCCCTTCCCTTCACTGCTCTGGTTATTCTTCTTCAGCTCAAGATTGCACTGCCCAGTTCCTGCCCTGAGGGACAAAACCACCCAAACTGACACTCAAACAGCTCATGGGGAATGGGAGAGACAGGGCAGCAGAGAGCTGTTGTCCCGTGTGTTTGGGAACCATGTGTATATGTTTAGAGGAGTACTCAGTTCACTTCATTTATTGTCTCTGTGCATGGGAAACACAGAACCCCAGACCATTTCTTAATGCTGACAAAGAACCAGTCCTCAGAGGGGCTTTCTGTATCACCCCCATGAACCCCATCCCAAGCAGCTTCCCCACCACCCTCCCCCTGTCCCGAGTTCAGCCACCATTCCTCCAGCCTACCAGCGGCCTGTCTCATGGCAGCATCCCCACAGCTGTGTCCACTTCCTTCATGGTCAGTGCCACATTAATTCAACAGGCAGTGTTTTTTATCCCCTTTTGGAGCTGTACAGCCAGTTTTATGGCAGCACCCAACCCTTGTTCAAGTGCAGGTTCAGCTATGAGGTGTGTGACCACATTGTATGAGTACTAAATACAGCATGGAGCCTACAATAAAGTTTTGTTTGTTTTTTTATAAAAATGTGGTGTTATCATTTTTTATTAATCTCCAGTTGTTTGCAGAAAATAAATATACCTGACAGAGCACAGTCAGGATCCAGGCTGTGGATCCCACAGATTTGGGATGTGCACGGACTTGCAGCAACTGGCCTGAGCAGTTTGGGAACCAAGCTGCCACAGCGCAGCCCCCAGTGCTCGGGGCCTCTCGGGAGCCTCTCGGTGAGGATTCTCACCTCGCTCCCTGAGGCACAAGAGGCATACGGTGGAAAGTCAGTGTGTGTTCGTGTTATAAGGCAACCGCCGGCAGCGACACCACCTCGCTCGAAATGCAGAGGTCCACAAAGTCACTCTGTGCGCGGAAACTGTCCCTCAGGTCATCGCACCAGGCGTCCAGCACCTCCCGCAGCTCCTCACTGGAGGCTCTCGGGGATGCTGAAGGAGTAGATCTGCACCCCGAGCCCGTCCTGGATGCGGGGACAACGTGCCCGCACCGTGAACACCCTGAGCGGCCTCAGCGCCAGGCAGTTCTCGCCGCCCTCCTCCACGGGGAAGTGGTAGGCGGCCGGGTAGCCCAGCAGCACCCCGAACACGGTGCAGAGGTTCCAGCCTGTGGCGACGACCTCGCTGCAGGAGATGGGGCCAGAGGAGGCTTCCTCGGCGGCCACCAAGTGGGCCAGCAAGGCGGCGAGGTGGCCCCTGATGGCCTGGGCCTGTGCCGGCCCGCACAGCTGGGGGCTGCCCCTCGCCGCCGCCACGTCCACGAAGGGCCCGGGCCGGGCTCGCAGCGCTGCCTCCAGCCGCCTCCGGGCCCCACCGGGGTGCAGCAGCAGCGCCGAGCCCCCGGCTGCCAGCAGGTGCAGGCGGTGCGGGGCCAGCCCGGCCTCCCGCAGCCGCTCCAGGTAGCGCCGGAGCTCGGCGGGGCCCTCGGCGCCGCAGTCGTACAGCAGCGCCGGCTTCAACCCCGCCGCCACCGCCAGCACCTCCCCGGCCAGATGCAGGGCTCGGGAAGCCGGCAGCCGCCGCCGCCTCCGCCCGCTCCCGGCCCCCAGCGCCTCCCGAGCCGCCGCCACCAGCTGCGGGGCCGGGAGGGGCTCCGGAGCCTCCATCCCCCGGAACGGCTCCGCCACCCGCAGCCGCCGCCCGGCACCAGGCTTCCGGGCCGGCCCCCAGCGCCACGCCAGGCCGGGGCGGAGCGGCCTTAGCGGGGAGGAGCGGCCCAGACCTGAGGGCCCGGCCCCGTAAACACGGAAGAGGGCGCTGAGGGGGCGCTGGCTGCTGGAGGGGGACTTAAAGCCAGGTTTTACTCCAAAAACATCTATAAAATACACGTATATAGAATATAAAGCACGGTGGAAGAAGCACTCGGCTGCTCTTCAGTTGCAGCCAAAGAGAAATAAGACGACGACAAGATGACATTCTTAATAAACCTTTTAATAAAGCAGTTTTAATAAAGCACAGATTACTTCTCTCCCCCCTTTAGTGATCGAGTGTTTATATACAGCGTGTCAATAGTGGATTTTTAAAAAATATTACAGAATTAAAAATCTGATTTACACGTAGCAAATAGCTAAAAACAGCAGTGAAGCTAGAGGTATTCCTTATGCCCTTTATTTAAAATGCTCCCAAAACAGAAATACCATAGACTGTTGAAAGTGAATCAGAAGACCAGATTTACAAATTTCATCCAGGTTAAGGCAAGGCATTCACTAACATCTCCCCATATGTACAACGCAGGAAACCCTGGGGCACCCTGCAGCAGCAGGACAAAGTGCCTGTCACTGTGCTGGCAGCGGTTGTGCCATGTGCATGGCAGGGGCCTGCATTGGCCACCCCTCCTGGTGGGTCTGCAGCAGGCGGTACAGCTGCTTCAAGTGAGCCACGATGTTGTCCTTGATGTCAGGCGTGGAGATCTGGAGTCGCACACTGCCACTGTCAAAGGAACGCGTGAAGTCACCAGAGAACATTTCGTATATCATCCGGGCCACGACTGGAATGACCTGTTGAAGAAATAGTGAGCCTTTTTAGCCTAGCAGTCACACAGTACATCCCCATTCCTTGGCAGGAATCCCCTGCAGGACGGTGTCCACAATCACGTAAAACACACTCACAAATTGATGTAATTCAGGACACAAAATCTACCAGCTCTGCTGGGGCTTTTCAGTGCCAATAACCATGACAGAGAAGAACAATTCTCTGGTTTCTGTGGGTATCAATCCAGAGCCAATACTGTGGCCCCAGCAAGGCTGCCATGTGTCACTTCACGACCTTAGTTCCTACCTGAACCACAATCAGCTTTCTCTCCCTAGGTTTTCCATCAGGCCACTCTTCTCCAAAACAAAAGTAGATCTCATATGGTGGCTGTTTTTCAATTTGTCCTTTCTGGTGGGCAATCAGCTCTAGAAGAAAAGCAGAATGCTGCAGTGTTGTCCATCTTTTGGTTAGAAACTCTATGTCCCACCTCGCTGTATTGTCCCGAGTCTTAGCTATACCTCCCACACATCAACAATTACAATTTATTCCTTTAACCCAGAAAAGTTTCCTTTAAAAGCAAGGCCCAACAATACTTTTCAGAGTGTTAAGTAAGTGCACATGCACTTGGTTCTGATGCACACATGCCCCACAGTCCACTGAGGTCAGGGGAAGCAGCAGCCACTACCCATGCTCCATGCATGTGCAAATTAATTAATGCATCCAGACTGACCCGCATGGCAGACCACCCTTTCCAACAGTGTCACCAAGTACTCAGACCAGGCTCCGTTATCTTCCAGATGCAGAAGCTACCTACCGCTTAGGAACGTTTCCAGGCAGAATAGTTTGACTTTCTTTTGCCTCTCAATCAAATTTGGTGTGGCGGCAGAAGGCGCACAGGGACCAGACCAGTACACCTTGCACTGGCAGAGCCGGACAGCATAGATGGCATGGCCACTGACCTCCAGGATCAGTCCCCTGTCCATAACATCCAGTAGCCGACTTGTGAAGATCTTTTGCCTTTCATTGGTGATTTGCTCTGTTCCTGGAAACTTCACTTGCTCCAAACTGATAGGCCCAAAGAGCTCTTCCTGGTCTGGCATAGGACCCAGCTCTCCATAGAAAAGTCTGCATCCCTGGGGGTTGCTTACAGTTGTCGTTGGTCCCGTCTCCTTTCCTCGATATTCAAACTTGATTTCTAGGTCTGTCACTGAGAGAGAAACTGTCAGTAGGATTTTCCCTGGACCTCTATGCATACTTTGTCAGCAGAAGACAAACACCACACAGTCCAACCTAGACTCACAGGGATGTTCTAGCTATACACAGATCGTGGAATATCTGAGTTGGAAGGAGCCTCAAGAACATCAAGTCCAACCCATGGGTCCCCAAAGAACCACACACCCACACACACACAAAAAAAGTCATATTCTTGCTAACAAGCAAACAACCAAAGGGTTTTTAAAAAGTTGTAACTTCTAAGTACAGTGACAGAAGTACTGTAAATCCATAAACATACTTGGAAGAGAGCTGATCCAGAGCTCAGGGCTGCTGAAGAAGTCATGCTGCAGAGCTGTTGGGGGCATTTCCATATCTAGAGGTTCATTCTTAGGCCACACAGCTTCAGGGCTGCAGTTTTCTGCGCTGGCAGGAGCCATTGGAGAATCTGTGGAAAGGAATCGATTATTTGCTAAACCAAGACTCGACTGCAAGCATGCACCAATATACAAGCAAGTAGCTTCACTGCTTCAGTACAGCCTATGCCACCAACCATTGATATTAAGAAATGGAAATGTCTCTTGAATAGGGACATGCTGAGATTGGTTCAGTTCTTCCTCTTCTTCCTCATCAAGATCATTATCCTTCTCGTCCCATGGAGCTGAGCCAGTGGAACCTGCAAACAAGCACACAGCGACAGGTAGACAATTTGATGTAAAACACTGAAATGCATTCTTGAAAAAGAACATAATCTTCACATTGGCTTTGCACAATAGCGGAATTTTGTCTATTTTCTAAGTAAAAAGACAACATTTTATCTGTACAATATTATTTTCAGGTTAATACCTGGTTTCAGAAAGCTGAGGATACAGAAACTATTGACAACATTGGATTTTTATTATTATTTTTTAGCAAAAAACATGCAACTATGTGCAGCTCTGTTAATTGTACTGTAGGCATACTATGGTTCAAGTCCTCGAAACTTAAGTCTAACTGGGCTTACACATGGCAAGTGCCTTTTTACAGCACACAAAGGCAGCTCAAGAGTTAATGCCACAGGGAGAAAGGCACACACGTTGGACAAACGCCTGCTCAGTAACCAGCACTGTGTCAGCAAGGCCCTCACCTGGATTAATGATTGATCCCTGGGACTGCGGGATATCGCACACTTCATAAATTTTAACAGGATTCATGGGCACCTCCTTGGTGCCATCATACATCAAATTAAATTCCCGGCTTTTGTTAAGGGCACATCGGAGCTGGGCTTTCCACTTCGCAGGGTCTGGCTCATCAACTCCTTCCTGGTACTTTCCTGTTTCCACAGCCCATGCCTGGGGACAAAGTACACCATGCTCAGTCCAGCCCTCGCAATAGAGTGGCGTTTACCAGAAATGAAGCTTACAAACAAATTTATTGTAAAATCCTTCTCCTACAGAAGACTTAACTACAGCTCTTCTGATGATGACAGTGGGCATTCCCTCTGTAATGGGTTTTCAAACAATTACAGAACAGTTTGGGCTGCAATGGACCTTAAAGGCAGAGGAAGTCAAATCCCTCAGAGTAAAGGAGTTAATATTCTTCTCCCAAGGGGTTCATTTTAAGAACAGCAGTAACAATAACTGAAACTTTGGGCTGGAGTGATGTTTTTTCTTTCCCTGTTAAGATTTATATAAAAATAAATAACGGATTTGATGCGAAGAACAGGGCAGCTGCCACATGCTAAACCAAGTCGATGAAGCAAGCAGCAGTAATCTCCCACAGTTTGTTCAACCAGACATTGTCAGGCCTTTTGCAGCCCGAAAGAGTTAAAGAACTAAACACTTTCCCAGCACAGTGCCAAGCTTGGCATTGAAGTGCTCAAAGTGGCATTTCAGAGGTCAAAGAAACAGGACAAAATGCGCCTGGAAGCAGCTACTGAAACGCCTATCCAGCTCTCGGCCAACAATTCAGCCCTTTGTCTCTGTGTAAGAGCCGTGGTACAGCCGAGCTTCTCCCTCCCTCACCTTGAAGATGGTGTTCTCCTCCTCGTGCTGCGGGCTGTGCCGAGTTGCGTGCTTCCAGGGGATCTGAAACCGCTTTGCTTCTCGATTTAGCCAGATAAGGCCCGGATACATGCCGCTATCTACCTGGGCCACGAGCCAGGGCTTCAAGCGGACTCTTCGCGGGTGTAACGCCATGGTCTACAAGAGACAGAGGTAATAGCAGACCAACTGCAAAAGGTTACTTGAGAGTCATATCCTTTAAAAAAAGAAAAAGTTAACTTCATGAAGTGCTCTACGTGGTGCTACTGTTATCGTTGGTTATATTACACACTGAAACCACTAACTCAGATTTAGCTAACTACCATTCTACCAAAAGGAGTTACAAATGCATCACTAAGTGATGTTTCTACACTGCTAATGTCTCTAGAGTAACAACCTTCATTATTCGTGTTAACTGAGCACATGGGAGGGTGAGCCCCAATCAAACTTGAGCTGTAAGTGCTGCGCAGGAGATAAAGCCACAAACAAGCCGCAGCAAGAACAGACATTAGAATTTCAAAAGCCTCCACGTACCCCTTAGCAAACAGGAATCTCTCATCTAGTTTTTCTTCAATCCTGCCAGGCTTGCATTGAGGAAAAGAAAACTACATGCTGAATCTGAAGCTTTTGCCCCAGATGAAGTATAGGTGGAACCATCTGACTGAAGCGGAGGGGACTGGTTTAACAGAGACGGACTTTCCTCCTGAAGTCATTTCATGACTTTTTCTTGATTTTTTTGAATGCAATATAATCACTTGCAAGCACCAGTGTAAGGTGCTGACCTATAACCAGGATGTTTATCCAGGAGGAGATGAACTTCAAGTCTGCACTGACACTAAAAATCAAGTCATATTGACTTTGTTGAATTTCTTAAAAAAAATAAAAAATAAATAATAAAAAAAAAGCAGCGCCACGGAATTAATGGATTAAATTTACTGTTTTTAAGTAGTACCATGCTGATA